GTTGTCTGGGTGATCTTTAATTCCAGAGCTGCCTCCTCCACCTGGCTGGCATGGCCAGTATTTCCACTCCTTTGTTTTTGTTAATGCAAAATTTACCCATGCCATGATTTTAACATAGGTCTCCATCATCTCCTGTGTGTTTTTTGTTTTTAATTTTTGTGCATTTATTTGAAAGTTACAGAGAGAGAGAGACCAATTTTTCATCTGCTGATTCACTCTCCAAATGGCCACAACAGCCAGGGTTGATCCAGAATGAAGCCAGGATCCAGAAGCTTCTTCTGGGTCTCCCACATGGGTGGTAGGGGTCCAAGGACTTGTTCAATATTTTTCTTATTTTTTTTAAAGATTTATTTTTATTATTTTTTTATTGGAAAGGCGGATATACAGAGAGGAGAGACAGAGAGGAAGATCTTCCGTCCGATGAGTCACTCCCCAAGTGAGCGCAACGGCCGATGCTATGCCAATCCGAAGCCAGGATCCAGGAACTTCTTCCCAGTCTCCCACACAAGTGCAGGGTCCCAAAGCTTTGGGCCATCCTCAACTACTTTCCCAGGCCACAAGCAGGGAGCTGGATGGGAAGTGGAGCTGCCGGGATTAGAAACGGCGCCCATATGGGATCCTGGCGCGTTCAAGGCGAGGACTTTAACCACTAGGCCAGGCTGCCAGGCCCTCAATGTGTTCCTTAGGTCATAAACAGGGAGCTGAATTAGAAATGGATCAGCCAGGAATTGAACTGCTGGCCATGTGCGCTGCTGCTGTTGCAGGAAGCGGTTTAACACACTATTTTACAGCATCGTCCCTCAGGTCTTAATGCACTGGAGCGATCTCCTCGTGGACTGTGTTCTTGTTGGCTTTATCCCTAGTTTGTTCATACACGGGACAGAGTGAGGGCTGGCACTATGGCTTAACAGGCCATTTAGACACCAATTCATGTCCCAGCTGCTTCACTTCCAATCCAGCTCTTTTTTTATGGCCTGGAAAAGCAGTGGAGAATGGCCCAAGCCCTTGGGCTGCTGTACCCACACAGGAGACCCAGAAGAGGCTCCTGGCTCCTCGCTTCACCTCAGCTATGGCTGTTGTTGCCATTTTGGGAATAAATCAGTGATGAAAGATCCTCTCTCTTCTGTCCTCTCTGTAAATTTACCTTTCAAATTTTAAAATATATGGGCAATAAACAAAAGACAGAGTAGGCAGAGTGATCTTTCAAAAATTTGAATATGATTATGTTCCATCCTTCTAATATCTGTAACTGTTTTCTGTTTTAACATCAATCCTGTCTGGCTATTGTCTCCATGAGGGCAGAGGTAGGTCCTCTGTGCTTTTCCAACATCGCATCCCAGGAACCTTGCTCATGACTGGTGCCCAGTATATTTTAGTGGAAGGGAGGAAGGGTTTGGTGCTTTGATTCAGGTTGCTGGAGAGTACCTAACAGAACTCCCCAGAGGCCTGTCTGATCCTGACCCGCCACAGGGTCCCCTGAACCCTCTCCACTGTGGGTTCAGCTGTTGAAATTAAGTTGAAATCTGCCTCCCTGGACTTCACCCAACTCCAAGTCAGTGCTGTTTGATAAGGCTCTTCCTGTGTAGTTCCGAAAACCTTGGGAATGCTGGGCCTTCCTGACTTGACAGGCCTCCTGGTGACCTTGTTGAAGTAGCCTGTGGGATTTGACCCTTTCTGCCCTTTGCCACATTCGTCTTGAGGGGAAAACACCAGAAACCAGGGAGCTTGCAGGTTTTCCTGAATTTCCCTCCAGCTGCTGTTGGGTGGTTCTGGCTCCCCTCGCTCCTACCTCCATGGTCTCCGTGCCGACTGAGTGGGGCTGAACTCGGGAAGAACCGAGGTAGAGCTGTTTGTCAGGCCCTGACCCGTCTGTGAAGCTGGAGGATCCTGTGCCTGTGCTGCCAGTGGCTCCGGGTCCAAGGCTGTGGCCATATTCCCGTGCTGCGCACGGTGCAGCTGCTCATTGCCTTGGATCTTTTCTCTCTCTTCAGTTGACAGGCCTGGAAGTTGTTAAGGTAGAACACATGAGAGAGGCTGTTGTTCACCCTCAGACTTGTGGTGATCATCCTCTTTTCCCTCGAGGAGTCTCAGCTTCCAAGCTTAGAGGGTGCTGGTGTGACTTATGTGGAGTGGACAAGTCCATCACTAGCTACCAAGGCGCCCTGTCGCTCTGATTCTAGGCATCCTTTCCAGTTGCCTTTTACATCCTGGATAACCAGTCAGAGCTTTGGAGAAACCAGCTCTCAGCGGGTGAGGGGCTGATCCTCCTGAAGCTTCCAGCAGATGTTGATGGAGTACTTCAGCCAGCAAGTGCAGTGGTGGTGAACTTAAGTAGGAATCATGGGGTCTGAGTTCTGGTCTCATCATTTTTCTTTCCTTTTCTGGGTGTTGGTTTCCCTAGTGATTGTGACTAAGTTCATTTTGAGCCACGTGTGGGACTTTTTAGTAGGGTGCCGTGTGGGAAGAAAGAAAGCTGTCTCATGCAGTTTGGTCACAGTCTGGCATCTCTGCCCTTGAGGACTTTGCGGGGACTTTGATGGCCCAGCAAGGCCGTTCCTGAGGAGGGCAGCTGAGAGTGCGCAGCTGGTCTGACCGGCAGCTCCGCAGATGCCATCTGCCTGCCCTGACTACCCCAGCATCCTTCTCACTCCCGGTCCCAGTGCCCGTGTGGCCTCGCTCTTCCCCCCACCCCCATTATTAACCCTCACTTGTGTTAACATTCCTAAGGCATGCTTTGTCTCTGTTCAGACTATTAACCTGGAAATGATGAGGGGAGAGGGAGAGCTGTGCCAACCCAAATTAAGAAAATATAAAAAACTGGGATAATCTGCCTCACAGGTATAGATAAAATTGCAATAACAGGAGCCAGTGTTGTGGTATACAGGACATGATGCCTCCTGTCATGTTGGCATTCCTTTGGGTGCTGGTTCGATTTCCAGCTGCTCTACTTCCCACCCATCTCCTTGCTAATGCATCAGGAGAGGCAGTGGAGGTTTGTGCCCATGAACGCACTTGTGAGACCTGAATGAAGCTCTTGGTTCCAGGCTTCAGCCTGACCCAACCCCAGGTATTGCAGCCATTTCTTCCAGAGGGATGGATGATCTTTCTCTCTGTATATCTTTCTCTCTCTCTGTCTCCATTTTTCTCTGTTCCAGAAATTGGTTGCAGAAGAGTATAATTTGACTTGACTATTCTAAAATGGTCAATTTTATGCCATGTGTGTTTTGAAAAAATATTTTAAAAGTCAGTGCTACAAAATTTGAACGAATGAATTTTTAAAATCTTTTTTCCTTGAAGGTTAAAATGTTGTGTAGCTGCTTAACAATTAACTATAAGTTAACTATGGATTCTTTTTAGGACACAAAATTGATTATCCATTGATTAGCAAACTAATATTTAAGAGCAATATATATTCATTAAGGAAAATTTAAGTACAGAAAAGTAAGCAAAATATTTATTACTTTAGAGGCAGATTATTATAGAGAGGTCTTCCAGCCACTGGTTCACTTCCCAAATGTCACAATGCTCAGAGCTGAGCTGATCTAAAGCCAGGAGCTTCTTCAGGTCTCCAGTCTGGGTGAAGGGGAGAAGGACTTGAACCATCCTCTGCTGCTTTCCCAGACCATAAGAGAGCTGGTTCAAAAGTGGAGAAGCTAGAATGCATACCAGTGCCCATATGGTATCCCAGCCATTGCAGGTGGAGGATTAACTTGCCATGCCACCATGCCAGCCCAAAACAATCATTTATAATCTTGCTACCGGAACACCACCAGTGTACACCTCCTGATCCATTTCCTTGGGGTCGATTAGGATATCTTTTTGTATATGACACAATCATATTGTGTGTCCGGTTTTCACTTTGTCCATCAGTGTGTACTATGATCTTTTTAGATATTCTTATTGCTAGACATTTTTGCTTATTTCTACTTCCTTTTTAGAAAAAACATTTGTTTATTTAAAAAGCAGAGTTATATAAGGATGAGATAGAGAATAAGATCTTCCACCTGCTAATTCACTCCCCACATAGCTGTAATGGCCAGAGCTGTGCCTGTCTGGGGCCAGGAGACAGGAGTTTCTTCTGGGTCTCCTTTCTGTGTACTGTGGCCGAAGTATTAGGGACATCTCTTGCTGCAGTGAAAGTGGAACAGCCAGAACTTGAACCCATGTTTGTGCGGGATACAAGTGCTGCAGGCGGCAGCTTCACGTGCTGTGCCACAGCACCAGCCCTTGTTCTTTTTTAAAATGTTTTTACAGGGCTGGGTGCAGTAACCTAGTGGCTAAAGTCCTTGCCTTGCACACACCAGGATCCCATATGAGTACCGGTTCTAATCCTGGTGACTCCGCTTCGCATCCAGCTCCCTGCTTGTGGTCTGGGAAAGCAGTTGAGGATAGCACAAAAACTTGGGACCCCAAATAATAAAAATAAATGTCTTATTTATTTTTATTACAAAGTCAGATATACAGAGAGGAGGAGAGACAGAGAAGAAGATCTTCCTCCGAAGATGTGCAGCAGCGTGAGAGACATTTGCCGGATGCTCTCTGAATGGCCGACCCTCTTCTGCTGAAGGCCCGGATATCTGAGAATGACCTTGTTACCAAACCAGTATCCTATCCCGTGTCACTGGTTTTAGCTCCTGGAGAATACTATCCATCTCTAGTGGACCCAGAATGGTTTACCAGATGGAGCTCCTGGGTCCTCCACCTAGGTCCTTCTCTCCTGGTCTCCTGGTCCTTGATATTGGCCCAGGCCAGACCATGGCCTGTTGGGTTTGACGTCCAAACCCATTTCTTTCTCCTCATCTGCTCAGCACCCATGAGGTCAATTTGGCTTAAGAAAGATGTTTCTCTCTCTTTCTCTCTTTGTCCCTCCCTCTCTGTACTTTTTTTTTTTTTTTTTTTGAACAGTCCTCCCCTGTGGAAGACCCCAGGCCTGTCTCCGTGTGGTGCTCTTGCGGGGCAGGGCGGGATGGACTCTCACAGCTCTTCCTGTCTTTGTGCAGTTCTACAGTGAGTCCGGCATGCCTACCAAGCACCTTTCAGACAGCGTGTGTGCAGTGTGTGGGCAGCAGATCTTCGTGGACGTCAGTGAGGAGGGCATCATTGAGAACACGTACAGGCTCTCCTGCAACCATGTGTATCCTGCCTGCAGCTCACAGGCCCGGACTCTCCCTGACCTTCCTGTCCTGGTCAGTGGGAAGGGGCGGCCATGACCCTGGGCCGGTTGTGCAGGCCTTGGAGAGCAGCAGAAGCCAGGAGAGGGCCGAGGCCATGGCTCCCTCTCCTGGACCTGATGGTTGGAGCTGCCTCTGTGTGAGCAGTGGTTCTAGACTGACTAGATCAGAATGGAGCCGGAAGCTGCAGTCACTGCCCCCAAAATGGGGGCATCACAGGGGAAGGTGGAAGCTGTCAGTTCAGAGGCAAGTCCTCCCGCTGCCAGGAACACTTGGAAGATGCAGAGTGTGCTGACGCAGCTCCCAGCATATACCTGTGTTGGTAGATTTCTGAAAATTCCCCCTGGGATGTGAGAAAACAGCTTCCAAGGGGCTACATGGCCAGGGACTGCAGCGGGGCCCAGAACCTCTCCAGGGCTGCTGCCGGCACCCTGCCAGCCAGCACCGTCTAACCAAGCTGGCTTCTCACCATTTCCTTGACTCACAGTCACAGGTTCCACGAGTTCTGCATCCGTGGCTGGTGCATTGTAGGAAAGAAGCAGACGTGCCCCTACTGCAAAGAGAAGGTGGACCTCAAGAGGATGTTCAGCAACCCGTATCCTTGGCCGGGGCCCAGCTGGGAGTGGGCTGGGGGAGAAAGTACTGGCAGTAGCTCCTGTATATGGCCCCTCCCTCCTATCCCCAACCTGGACGAATCATCCTTGAACCTGGCCGTCAGTTGATAGTAGCAGCCACTACTATGACTGCTGAGTGCTGTGTGCCCTGCACTGGGTTAAGTACTGCTCTGGCTTAAGCTTCCCTAGCAGCTCCATGGCCAGGATAATGTTCTTATTTTGTGACTGCAGCAGTCTAGAGGTTGGTTAACTTGTTCAAGATCATGCAGTGAGTGAGCGGTCCCCTCCCTGTGGCATACAGTGCCAACTGGAGTCCAGCTGTTGCAGTGCAGAGCTGGCAGAGAACAGAGGTGGTGGAGGGATCCCCATCCCTCCACGCACAGAGGCCGCCGTGTTCCTCCGAGCTGCCAGCTCCTGCCCTCCCCCCCGCCTCTTCTCACTGGCTGGCTGCTGGCAGTGTCCAGTCACTTTGCTGGCCCCACCTCTACTTCTAGGGCTCACGCACCCATCTTTCCTCCCCACACTGCCCTTTCCCTGTGCTCCAGCAGCCCCTGTGTCCTCCCCGCCATTGACAGGACACCATGTCCCTGGCTTACTCCTGTCTCTGTCCTTCAGGTTCCCTGCCTGCTTCTTCAGGGGACCAGATCAGGGAGGGACAGTGAGGGAACTCCACAGGCAAGCCAAAGCTTGAGGTTTCCCTTAGGCTTGAGCTTCCGATAACCTTGGAGCTGTTCCGATAACTCTGGCACACTTTGGTGAGCTCCTCTCCTTTTCCAGAGCTCTAGCCCAACACTTTGATGCAAACCGAAGGAAGGGGACTCTGCTCCTGGGGCTGTTGGGGCCACTTCTTGGACCCTGCTCCCTGTTGTGTCTGTCCCTAGACCTGGTCTCCCTGACCTAAGAAACCTTCAGTGTGGACAGTAGACGAGTCCCAGCTGTGCAGCCATTGTCACGGCTCCACTCCTGGCAGGCTCAGGTTGTCAGTACCCATGCTGGTAATGATGTCATGGAGAACATGTTACCCAATGTGTGCGCTCCTTGTGTGGTGTTCAGGGAGAATTGTGTCCTCTTATTATTACCACTGCTACCAGTATTTAGTCTGTGTGCTGTCAAAGCAAGCACTATTTTTACAGATTTACAGAGGGAGAGAGATTGATCTCTTGGTTCGCTCCCCAAATGGCTACAATGATCAAGGCAGGCCAGGCCAAAGCCACGAGCTTGCAGCTCCATGCAGAAGGCCACTTGGGCAATTTTCTTTTTCAGACACATAAGCAGGAGGCTGGGTCAAAATGGAGAAGCAAAGCTGGGACTGAAGCCAGCACTTGGAATGCCAGCAGTGTAGTCTGCAGCTTAACCCTATATGCCACAGTGCCAGCTATGGGAGCTAGATCTTAGCTGTCTGCCTCTCATGTCTGTCCTGTCTGCCTTACCATTGTTGTCCCCCCTCCCCTCCCTCTGCACTCAGCCCTTCATTCCCACACAGGGATCTTGAGAGAGGCTGGCTGGCCCCTAGAGAAGGTTGCTTCCTTGCCGTCATCATTTCTTGGCCGGGGAGGGTGGCTCCCAAGAGTGCCTGGGGAGCACTGCCCCTGGAGCCTGGTCAGCCTGGGCAACTGCACAAAACCTCTTTTCTTTAACACGTGGACAGCTGGGAAAGGCCTCACGTCATGTATGGGCAGCTGCTGGATTGGCTTCGATACCTGGTAGCCTGGCAACCTGTCATCATTGGCCTGGTGCAAGGCATCAACTACATCCTCGGCCTGGAGTAGCTGGGATGGACTTCAGTGGAGAACCCACCCACCCACCACGGACCTCAGGGCACTCTCCTCCCTGCCTACAAGACTTCCTGGGTGGGAAAGACTCAAAGGGGCACTTGGGCCACTCAGGACCCGTCCGGCGGTGTCTGGGCTGGGGAGGGGTACAATGGAGAGCCAGCTGGGGGCTGTTAGCAGTGGGAGGCTTTTTAAAAGAAAACTATTTTGATGAATATATTTAAAAACAATTTTTTTATTGTGGCGCATAGGAGTGCCCCTCCCTCCGTCTCCCCCTCCGTGCTTGGACCGGGTGGGAGCAGGACCGCAGAGCATTCTCGCCCTGGCTGAGAGCACTGTGGGTTCACAGGTGGCAGAGAGCCCCAGCTTCCCAGAGCTCGTCGCTTCCCTTGGTGGGGCCTGCGGCCAGTCCACTGAGGGAAGGTGTTGGACAGCTCGGACAGGGCTCAGACACCAAGGGCTGTTCCTGCTGCGCCCCTGGACTGCAGCATAGCTGTTCTCTGCCTGCATACCTGTGTCCAGCAGTAAAAGGCGCTGGAGGCAAGTGGGGCCTCATCAGTGACTTCTACCCAGGGAAGCCCCTGGCCCCAGAATCTGCTGCAGATGCTTCAGGACGGTGGGCACACCCAGCGGCGTGGATCCCGTGCCCTAGCAGGACTGTAGGCAACCGGCAGTAGGGGTCCTTGACCCATGCTGACACTGGCTGCAGTGATGGAGGGGCCTCTTGCAACCTGAGCCTTGAGCCAGGAAGTGGTGACATGTGCCAAAGGCCACTCCACCACAGCACGCACTTCCTGAAAGGCTGAGTGAGTGTGTGTGTGTGTGTGTGTGTGTGTGTGAGAGAGAGAGTGTGTGCTCAGCAGAGACTGCAGAGGGATTTCTCATTGTTGGGGGGGCTCTTCAGGGGATTCCCAGCCCAGGGAATGTTCTGTGTGAGTTCCATCACTCTGGGGACTTGCCTGGGTCGGACAATGGCAATGGTAGGTGGTGGGCAGAAGGGTGAGGTGGGCCAGGGGCCCAGAAAGGGGCCGCCAAGCCAGCCAGGCCTGCTTTTTGGAGTTCTGGAGAAAGTGGGAGGGCAGATGTGTGCTTTGAGTATGGGGTGCCTGTGGCCCCTCAAAGGGCGGCAGGAACTGAGCAAGATCTTGTCACTTTGGTCTGAATAAAGCTCCATGAGCTGGGTGGAAAGCTGGACATCATCTTGCTTTTCTTTCCTTTTTTTTTTTTAAGGTTCTATTTTTGTTTGAAGGAAAGGCAGAAAGAGGTTTTCCATCCAAATCACTACAGTAGCCAGAACTGAGCTGATTTGAAACCAGGCACCAGGAGCTCCTGGGTCTCCCACGTGGGTGCACGGTCCCAGGACTTGAGCTGTCCTCTGCTGCTTTCCCAGGCCACAAGCAGGGAATGCCATGGGGTACTCATGTAGGATGCTGGCACTGGCAGGTGGAGATTAACTTGTTGAACCACTGCACCGGCTCCACCATCTTGGTTTCCTTCTTCCCACCTTTTTCTCTGGGTCCCTGGGGACACCTCTCTGCTGTCCCCATGTGACAGCTGAGGCCTGGAGGAGATGGCCCTGGTGGTGGTGGAATCCTGGGCTCCTATCTCCTGTGGTGTGAGGGTCCCTGGTCCCCCTTTCATTGGAGAGGACTGCTGTCATTGCCAGAGGTTCCATCACCCAGGGCCATTCAGCCTCAGCTGCGGCTTCATGCTCAGAGAGGACAGGGGACTGGAAGGACTCTGGAATTGCCTCTCCTCCAACTTCTGTACCCCACCTCACCCCCATTCGGCTCAGGGGAGGAGTTGGGGCCAGGCTATCTGATGCTTTCTAGCATCCCAAGTCCCTTCACTTTCTAGTGGCCAACTCTTGTCTTGGTTACACTCTAGAGTCCTGTCTTGTCCCTTCCTGCCAGAGTGGGCTGTGTCTGCCCAAGACCCTGGGCAGCCTGGCATCCTGGCCCAGATCCTAGAAATGCTTGCCTACCTGGGGTAGAGTGTCCCTTGTGTCCCGCAGCCGTGTAGCTGCAGGCAGACGGGGGCCTGAGAAGTGTGAACCAGATGCAACTAACCCCCCTACATCTAAGTGAGGACTAAGGATCTGTGGTTTTTCTCAACTCCCACTGCCATCACAACTGCCTCACAACTGACTGGCTTCCCTGCCCTCCGTGTCAGATGCAAACCTGACATGGGACTCTTGCTCACACTGGACATGCTGTGCCAGCTTCAAGGAATATATTATAAAATGTTTCCATCTCCAGAGTTACTTGCAGAACCCTCAGGGCCTCTTCCTGCCTCCTGATCCTACAGCAGCCCAGTTTGTCCCGTCAGTGACTGCACAAATAATGGTGTAGACGCTGGAGCCAGTGCCGGGCCACCTGCCCCTCCCCTGCTTTCAGGCCAGCTTGCATGCCGGTGGTGTGTCCACCAGTGAACCAAGGCGTGGTTCTAAAGGCTGGAGGGACACCTGGAAGTCCCCACCCTTAGGCCAGGAAGCGTATGACCTGAGAACCATAGATGTAGAGTGTATTGAAGAGCACTGTGTGTTAGAGTGAAAATGAAAGTGAATGGGGATGCCAGGGCAGTGCTTTCCCAGAAGGATGTGCCGATCCTGCCTTTCCCAGAAGTGGCTGCAGCAGCGCAGAGCTCTCCCTGCCTGTGGGAATGGGTAAGTCTGTGGGTCCTCTCTGGGCATGTTTCTCTCCTCTTGGAGCTCTCACGGTATCAGCAGTAACGAGCTAGTCCTGGGTTGTTGGCACAGACTGGGGGGGATCGGCCAAAGCTTCAGTGCCTGTCTGAGGAGTTGCCATCTGGGACAGCTGGGCAGGATGCATTTGGACCTGAGGCAGGCAGGCTGTGAACCAGACAGGAACGGGTGTGGGCACAGGTGGCTGGATCTGGACGAGCTACCAAGAATAAGTGGGTGTGTACCATGGTCTGTCCCCCTCCTTTTTCCCTCAAGAAGAGGAAGTTGTTCTGGATATAGAGAGCCCCACTTGCCAGCTTCTGACACATGCATCATGGCTGTGAGACAGAGCTGGACAGAAGGTAGGACACAGGCCTGTCTGGGCAGGTGCCGGGGGGGGGGGGCAGCTATTGAAAGGGCTAGTGCAGCCTGCTCTGAGTATTCAGCCTGGTGAGCTGTACCCAGCCTCACCTTTGTGCTGTGGCTTTAAGCTTCCTATACAGAAGCTCTGGCCCTGGGACAGACTGTTGCTGCACTTAGTTCAGAAAGGCCTGGGCTTAGGAGCCCTCTGGGCTGGACTCCCAGCCTCCGCAAGCCGCAGCGCTGCCCTGAAGCAGGAGCAGCAACCTGGGCGTGTCCAGGCAGCGCACTGGCCGCCACCGCCTGACTAGCTTTTTCGCAGATTCCAGGCCTTTGGGGGTCTTGCTGTTGTGCTCCCAAACCCTCACCCTCCTGGCTGCAGCTGCACCCACACCTCAGAATGCCGCAGCTATCACTGGCTCTGCTGGGATCTCACAGGACTCCACACCCCCAGTGTTCCCAGTAGCTAAGCAGTGTCCAGCATTGGAGGTGACCTGGCCGGAAGTAGAAGTGCCACTAAGTAAGTAGAATGCTAGAAGCCTAGCCAGGATACCAGGGGTCATGGGGTGGGCTATGGGTCTGCAGTATCTAAAGGTGACCCAGCCTGGGGCCACTTGGCTGAGTGCCCACCTCTCTCCCCACCCAGGATTGTGGGTGGGGGCTGGCAGTTCCCAGGATGCTGCCTACCGAGTGGGACAGACAGGACAAACAGTAATGCAGCCCTTGACTGCAGGACCATCCTCCAAGGCCATCCCCGGGAGCAGCTGCTGTCTGCCTGGGCCGCTGGGGCTGGGCACTAGAAGCAGGCATCCCCTGGATTGGTCCTGCCCAATTGGCCAGGGCTCAGACCTGGAGTTTCCCTTGTGGACCCTGTACTTGCCCTTTAACCACGTTCCCAGTGAGGAGGTATGCATACACAGGACTCCAGCGGCTCCATCTGGGGAGCTGCCAGGAGTGTGGCAGGGCAAAGGCTTGCTGTCTGCAAGGGCTAACTGCTGCCCCTGTCTCTAGATGGGATGTTGGCCTTGTCTTGTGTCGCCTGCAGCCACATCCCCGCCTTCCATGCCCTCTACTGGCTGGGCAATGGCTCCTTCATCGAGCACCTCCCAGGGCGGCTGTGGGAGGGCAGCACCAGGTGAGGGCCGTGGGGGCGAGGTGGGGGAAGGGAAGGCTCTGCCTGCAGCCCCCTGCCCCCGCCCCTGTGTGATTTGGTTTCTCTGCCGCAGCCGGTACCACAGGCCCACGGGCACCTGGCTGCAGAGGGCCCTGGTGCTGGAGGAGCTGACCACTGCCTTGCGCAACACCAACTTCACGTGTGTGTCCGTGGACACTGAGCAGGTCGCCTTGTACCACGTCATCCCAGCCCAGCTCTGGGTGAGAAAACATGGGGGGGAGTCCTGCAGGGTGGGGGCGGGGCCCAGAGGCCTGTCTGACGGAGCGGAAGTAGAATGAATTGGAGCTCAGGAGAGGCGTGGCCTGGGCGAGTGTGTGAGTCCCCTGTCCCTTGGCTGGTCCTGATCCTTGTCTACCTTCACTTCTGGCTGGGCTGAAGATAATCCCGCCCTCAAGCCAAACCCCAGAACCACAGCTGCCTGTGACAGCAGGGTCGGGATTCAGCTCAACAATAGCTCGACCTTGACCAGAGCTGGGCACCGCCTCTGTGCAGGATGGAGCATCCTGGCTGTTGGCGCCTGTCTGCAAGCCGCTGCTCCGCCCCGGCTTCCCCCGCCCAAGATCTTGGAGGAATGCAAACAGCACTTCCACCACGAGGCGCCACTTTGAACCCTGGCCATGCTCTGTATTGACTCCTTTATATATAAAGCATCTTTTCATTGGTTACTGTTTTACTCTACCAGCCTGTCATGAGAGGTGGCCATAGCTGCTCCCACCCCCAGCAGGGTCTACGTTGCGTCACTCACAGAAAGGAGACTGTGTGGGAAGAAAAGGCGGCGTCTTGCTTTCCCATAGCCAGCCAGGCAGCTCAGCACTCAAGGGAGAAAAATAGACTTTATTTACAAGTAATAACATTTAGAAAAGATCCATCCCCAGCCCCTAAAAACCTTCCCATCACTCCAAATCCCACCCCACCCCAGGACACAGGGCCCTCTGTCCTGGAAAACAGCACTGCCACAGCTGTGTGCTTGGGTGATACAGGTGGCCAAGGGCTGCCCCCACCACGGTGTGTCCAGCCTGACTTCATGAGCAAAGGCCCTTACTGGGCCCTGGGGCCAGGAACAGCAGGGGCCGAGCCTGCTGCAGCAGTGGTCCCTTCTAGATCCCCAGGCTGAGCGGAAGACTGGCAGGGCCCACAATGTAGCCATCCCTCTGCTCTAAGACAAAAAACCAAGAGGCACAGCGAGGAGAGGCCCCCACGATCCGGGCTCCAGGCCTCCCAGGAAGGTCCAGGTACAAGCAAGCGTCCCTTTCTCTAGGGCTTTGGCCACTGTTGGCCCGGGAGCTGAGAGAAGGCACTGAGAGGGACAGGAGGAGGGAGACAGGTGAGGCCGCGCACCGGTACTGGCCCTTCAGTGCTTTGCCTGAAAGAGACAAGAGACCAGTCACCTGGTTGGGAAGACTGACGGCTGGTGCAGCAACGTCCCTTCTGCCCCTCTGGGGTCACCTCTTTGTGGGCCCCCATGTCACCAGCTGCTAGATGTGGTCGTCATAGTGGGTCTTGATGCCTCAAACCAGAGCTGCTCGCCAGGACAAGGGATGCTAACCCCCAACCCCTTAGCCAAGCTCAGGCCTGTCTTGGGTACTTCCCTGGGGACAACCCAGGAGGTGATGTGCCCTCACCTCCCACCCCCTCACCTTGCCCTTGGCCCGAGGTGTGGTGGTCGCAATGGCAGCACTGGCTGTGGTGGTGGCAATACGCGGTGAGCGGCGGGTTCCCCCGCGGGTGGTTGGGGAGGCCTTGGCTGGGAGCTTCTTTGAGGCCCCCCTCCGCAGCAGGCTTGTCCCCAGCTTCTTGGGTGTGTTGAGGATGCTGAAGGCCATGGACTGGCGCTGGTCAGCCTGTGAGGAAGGACAGTCAGCCTGGGCACCCCAGCAGCTGCCTGCCCCGCCCTCAGTGCCTCCAGCCCAGCCTGACCTGTTTAACAGCAGCTGGAGCCGCTTTCTTCGGGCCCTCGGCAGTGCTCCGCCTGCGCCCTTCGTGTCGGTCCCGGGGAGTCATGGGCCGTGGGAAGCAGCTCGTGGCCTTCTTGGACTATGGGGAAGAGGACAGTCAGGGGTGGCAGGAGGATGGCACAGTCATCCACCTGCCCTGCCCGGCCTCCCTGGAATGTTGACCTGAGCACAGCACCTACCTCAGGGGTGCCAGGGCCCTGGTGGGTCTCCAAGGAAACCCGTTTGCGCTGCTGCCGGGTGGTGATCCCGGTGCCCTCAGCGATCTGCATGGGCTGCATGCTGGCTCGGCGCAGGGTCTCCCGGGGATCCCCGGTTTTCATCTCCTCATCTGTGATGGTGCCCAGGCTCAGGGACGGCTGCAGGGGTTGCAAACAACAGAAAACAATGAAGCCCAGCAGGATGGAGATGCTGCCTCTGGCTTCCTCATATGCCAACTGCCTGGGGCAGCCGGTCCTCGCCTCTCCAATGGGACCCCCTGTTCTCACTGAATGCCAGTGGAGAGCTATGCCTCTCCAAGCTCCTGCCCAACTGCAGTGACTCCTCCGAGCTGCCCCAAGCCACTGCAGGCCAGAGGCTCTGGTCCTAGAGCTTGGGCGGCATCAGCAGGCACGCTGGAGCCGCAACTGGCCCCAGGGCTCACCCTGGACTCCAGGGGGTAGCAGGTCTTCAAGTGCGGGGGGCACACTCGGTTACGTTGCTGCAGCTCGGCGATGCGGTTCCAGTCGTCCAGCTGCTCGGGCTCATCCTGGCAGGTGCCCATGTAGAAGCTGTTCCTCCCTGTGGAGGGCCAGAAGCAGACAGGTGGCAGATCACTTCTGGCTCAGGCCTCTGGTCAGCCTTAGGTCAGCATCCCTTCCACCTCCCACAGGGGCGTCAAGCCCAACACGTCAGTCTGGCGCATGAGCTCCTGCTCCCTCCCTGTGGGAACTGGGAGGCTGTGACTACATCTGATTCACCTGCCAAGCTGTCACCCAGCACCCAGAGAACAGGCAGGAACTGATACTGAGAGGCCCATGGAAGCCAAAGCCCGAGTTCAGCAAGTGTCTGGCCAGCCTGGCCCCTCCAGCAACCCATCATGCCAACAGGAGCACACAGTGCTCCTGGCAGCTAAGTTGGCACCCTGGAGGGCAGCAGAGGCCAGCTGTGGATTCCCTGCACCATGATACCCTTCAGCCTACTCTGAGGCATGGCAAGTTGTCAGTCTCCCCTCACCTGGAGGAGCCCCGCTGGACACCCCTGCCTGAGAGCGGCGAGCAGAGCTGCGAGTGGTGGGCCGGTAGCCAGGCAGCCCGAGCAGAGCCGCGCTGCCATCGTCGGGAGAGCCCAGGCGGGCCAGAGACTGGCTGGAGGAGGTGGCCCGCAGGCCGGCTTGGGCGGCGGGGGCTGACTGCGTGCTATAGAAGGACGAATTGGCGCTGTCTGGCTCCTCCACATCCAGCTTCTGGAAGACAGAGGTGGGTCTGTTGTGGGGCAGGGTAGGGAGATGGTACAAAGGCCCCTGCCCCTCAATGGCCTGGTTCCCACACAACTTCGCAAGGCTCTTAGGCCTGCTAATGGGCAGGAAGCGGCCTAGTTGCCAGAAGCCCTCACAGGGGGCCAGGGTGGTTAAGGGTTCCTATGCTTTATTTTCTCAGTCTATTATGAACTGTATTTCCTGGAAAGAAGGCTGAACTAATGCGCAAAGTGAAGTGAGAGCCCTAAATCTCACAGCTCCTCTAAGCACAGTCCTGGGGCTACAACACCCCATGGCCGCTCAGGCCACGTTTTCCGGTGCCCTGGCCGTCCTGGGTAAATTCTCCTGCCTCTTGGTGTGAGAGGGCGTCCAGCCCCAGCCTCCTGCTGGAGGTCAGGAGCCTGCGCTCTCATTCAGCCCCACCCCTGTCTCTGGAAGAGACCCTCACAAACCACTGGTCTCATGATCTCCACTCTCCCATCTGTGTCCCCAGGACTGGCGGAACCCCACTTCCTCCTGCTTGAGGAGCAGGTGAGCTAACCGTCCTGTAGCCCCACTCCCGCAGCCTGACCTTGGTCATGGTGATGTTGATGATTTGCGTGGTGCGTCGGCGAGCAGAGCGGGTCTTACGGCTCGAGTCCAGGAAGACATCCCCCAGAGAGTCCAGGCTGCTCTCCAGGGGGGGCTGGCCCCGGGCAGGGATAGGGGTGAAGTAGAGACTCTCCAAGGATTCTACCTTGGGGGGCAGGCGCTGGGAGATGGGCGAGGCAGGCTCTGCAGGAACACTGGTGCCATCTGGCTTGGTGCGGGGCAGCTTGCTGTGGGAGAGATTGCTGAGGTGTGCTACCCTGGGCTAGAAGGCAGTTACCCATCCCTTTGGCCCAAGCAAAGGAGGGCAAGCCCCCAATTCTGGTTTTGTTGTTGTTGCTGGTGTTGTTTTCCCAGAGGTCCCAAGAACGTCCCTGGACCTGGTCCCTCTTAACTCAGTCCTCTCCCATGTTTCTGACCTGACCACCTTCTTCCTGGCAGCTGTCAGCTCTGTGCCTCATGGCTGGATTGTGCTCTCCACACCAGACAGCCTGTCAGCCCAGGGCCCGCAGCTGCTGCAGAACATGTCCCAGCCACTGGCCTGCTCCATATCGCACCCTCCACCCCTGGCCCCCAAGCCACAAACCTGTGACAAGTGTACAATACTACCTTATTCCTCTCCTGTCAAGCCTGCTTGCCATGCCTCCTAAGTAGCTCTCCTAACTGCACCCCTCTCTTCACTCAAGTCCTCCTTTGGTTGGCCTTATCTCTCACTTAGACTTACAGCAGCACTGGAAAAATGCTGCACAGGCCAGTGTGGTGGCTTAGCAAGCTAGTCTTCCACCTGCAGCACTGGCATCCCATGTGGGCCCCAGTTTGCGTCTCAGCTGCTCCACTTACGATCAAGCTCCCTGCCTATGGTTTGAAGAAGATCCTAGCTCCTGGCTTCAAATTGACTCGGCTCTAGTTGCTGTGGTCATTTTGCAAGTGAATCAACAGATGGAAGACAGAGCTCTCACTATGTCTCTCTAAATAAATAAATCAATCTTAAAGAAAGGCAGCAGAGTATTGACAAGCAACAACTTGGGCTGGGCTGCCCATTTACACAGCCCGGCTCTACCACTGTGGGGTCTTGGGCAAATGACCATCCCTCAAACCTGCTTCAGACTTCTCCTCAGAGGATAAGAAGCTACTTGAGAAGGTTAGTGAGGGGACCATGAGTTGGTTCTAACTGCTCACAACACACCTGGCATACACAAAGTGAACCATGTGTTTCACCACCACAGTAAATGTGCTGCCTTAACATGTCCACCAGCTGTCAGGACAGAGTAACCAGGAATTCTGTTTCAAACCCCTTCAGGTGGAAGTCTCAACACGCCACTGCAGGCCATCCTGGGCCAGCCCAGGCCAGCCCGGCTGGCTCATCTCTCCTTTCTGTCCACCTTGGGCACACACACTTCTGGGTTCTCTTGCAATTAGCATGTTCAGCAGCCTGGGAGTTTCTCCTGTTGTCTCACTCCCATTGTGCCCTAAACAGCCACCTGGCATATCACCTCAAGTACTTTAAGAATAAACTTCCAAGAAGGCAAAGGCCCCACATCTTTTCTGAATAGCTCCTGGGCCCAGGAGATACCTGATCTATTGTAGACACACAATGACCAGGCCTTGGAGGAGAAGGGGGCTCCTGACCTGGTGATACTCAGGGGGCTTCCTTCGCAGCTCAGGTCCAGGCTGTCGATGCTCAGGTCTAGCGGGGGTTTGGCCTGGGGCTCTCGGCTTTTTAAGACATCAGTTGCCACCTGGGATTTCCCGAGGTCTCGAAGCTGCTGGTCTGCATGAGCAACCTGGGAAAGAAAAGGCCAGAAGCTTGAAGAAATGCCCAAGGCAGGGGTGGCATAGGAGAGGAAGGCATGGGCAGTCAGATGGCAGGGCCAGCCTGTCCAGCCAGGAACTGACCTGTGCCTCCAGGCTGCGCACTTGGGCAGTGAGGTGGCGGCAGGTCTGTTCGGCCTCCTTGGTCTTGAGCCCAGCCTGCTGCAAGTCCCGGCCCAGCCGTTCCGCCTCGGCCCGCAGCTCCTTGTTCTCCTTCTGCAGCTGCTCCAGGCCTCGCAGCTGCTCCTGCAGCTCCTGGTTCTGCTGCTTCTTGGCATCATAATGGGTCTTGGCTCTCTCCATCTGTGTGAACAGATGGGATGCAGAGGTGAGGTTGGGCAGAGGCTGAGGGCAAAAGTGTGAAGCAGAGAGAGTGTTGGGCTGAACTCTACCTGGAGCTTGTAGTGCTCAGCTGCTTGCTCCTTCTGGCTCAACTGGGCCTGCAACTCCGTCACCTGGACCTGCAAGCGCTGGACTTCCTGCTGGCTCTCACCTCCTTGGGCCTGGAAAGCCTAAGGAAAAAGGCCAGGAGGCTGGGCTGACTGAGCTGCACTAGGCACGTGAGCTCTACAGGCATATCAGACTGCTGTGTATTCTCTGATCAGGGAAAACTCCTTTTATGTTCCCTACTACCAATACACACTCCCCCAGCTCCTGAGACCCCACAATGCCAGTCCGCCGCCTGTGGGAGTGTTCCCTGGCCAGGGCAGCCATGTGCGGGCTTGCCTGCTCTGCCACCCAGCCTCCTCAGGGAACCACTGATGTGCAGCATGCAGCCAGGCAGGCATTTGGTGTGTGAACTCATTTCTCCTCAAATCACTGGAAAAGGCAGCTAGATTCCCCCTTCCTGAGAGCAGACACTGAATTCAGACACTTGCATGGCCTGAGTGGGGTCAGGGACCAAATGGCAGAGCAAGATGGGCCCAGTGCCTGTGGGGTGGACTGTGCCCCACCACCACTCACATCCAGACTGGACACCAGGGCTGGGCCTGAGGCTGTCCGCCTGCAATGTGGCAGGTGCTTGGCCTGGTGAGGACTCCAGCAGAGCGTACTACACATCTGCTGTGTCATCATCACAGGGGGAGGGCATGGCAGCAGAAATGAAGTTGAGCTCCCACCAACTCTTGGAACTGTGGGTTCCAAAACCCCTAGTACCTATTTTTTTCTTTACAGTCTTAACAGGCTGAGAAGCCTCAAACTGCAGCAAGTATTTAGCCACAGAAGGGGACATGGCTGAAGTCATTATGAATATTGCTGGGGGAGTAGCGGGGAGGGGGCTCTGGTGGCGTAGCAAGCTAATCCTCTGCCTGTGTGCTAGTATCCCATATAGGCACTGGTTCGTGTCCTGGCTGCTCTGCTTCCCATCCAGCTCCCTGCTTGTGGCCTGGGAAAGCAGTAGACGGCCCTAGTCCTTGGGCTGCTACACCCAGATGGCCAACCCAGGAGACTCCTGTTTGGCTTAGCTCTGGCTTTGTAGCCATGTGGGGAGTGAACCAGTGGACAGAGGATCTCAGTGTTTCCTTCTCTCTATGGATCTCCTTTCCAATAAAAATAAATTTTTAAAAAACAGGAAAAAACACTGTTACTGGTGGTGTGGTACATAGGATAAAGCTACCACCTGTGATGCTGGCACCCCAGGGTGGTGATCTAGCTGTTCCAATCCAGCTGCCTGCTGACGGTCTGGGAAAAGCAGCAGGGGATGGTCCAAGTGCTTGGGCCCCTGTCACAGGGGACACGTGGTGAAAATCCTGGCCCTGGTCTACCCTGCCCTGTTGGGAGGCAGTGGATGGAAGGAAGCGCTATCTGTATGTTGTCTGTATTTGTGTTTCTTCCAATCCTCTGCATCTCCCTTCTCTCCGCAACTCTTTCAAATCAATCAATCTTTCAGTAAAAGTCTGTGTGGTGATACTCAGTGTTGTGATTTCCACACCTTGAGTTCAGGCTACCGGAGCCAACTGGCCAACAGACCTTTCTCCCTGATGCAGCATTCAGCATCAGTGCTGCCAACATGGTAACCCTTGCCATGCAACACTACTGAGCAGGGGAAACGTGGCTGAAGACTCAAGAATCGATTTCTATTTACTCCTAACTCACTGGCTACTTCAGTGGGCAGTGAGGGTCTAGCGGGATGGGACACGTGCTGTTCCCGAGCCTAGGCGGGCCTCTTTGCCCACACTCCCGCCACAGCCCTGGGAGCTGGGAAGCACCTTCCCTCCCCCCTCCTCACTCGGAGGCAGGCAGAGGCCGGGCCCATCCCCCGCTGTCCCACCTTCAGCTTCTGTTGCTGCATCTTATTTGTTTGGTCAAAGTCCGCCAGCTTCTTACTCAGTTCTTCCACCTGGGGAAGGCAGAGACGACAAGGCTCAGCAAGCCCTCTCTGCCTCCAGTTAGGGCACAGCTGCCTCCCAGGCAGGTGGGCAGGTCTTGAGAAAGGCAGCATGCCACACAGATGCTGCCAGGGCCGCTCGCCCACCCTCCCTCCGCCTTCCACCCACAGTCACCAGAACCAAGAGGTTGCCACTGCCCCACCCCAACCATTCTCCCCAAGTTGGGGTAGGGGCGCAGCCCTGGTTTTTAACTCCACAAGGGTCCACCCTGCCGCCCAGATTGCCAAAGCAGAGACCACAGCCATTCAGATCCCCGCCATGTCCACAGGCTGTTAGGGCTGGTACTGGCAGCGCGGCTGCTACTGTGACATTAGCATTAGGGGGAAGAGACCACTGCAAGACAACAGCCAGGGCAGGCCACACCCCCCAAGCCCACCCCACAGGAAGGGTGCAGGGAGGGGCAACAGCCACAGCAGCCCTGGCTCCCTCAGGGACCCCAGGAGTTAAAGCAGGACCAGAAAGCAGGGAGGAGAGGCGAGGGTTTCGTTGCTGTTACTGCTCAGTCCGAGGCTCCTGGCAAGGTGGAGAGGCAGCTGGGCCCAACTCCTTGGCAGACCTGAGGTGACTGGGAAAGAGGCCGGGGCAGCACAAAGATCCCAGGAGAGAGCAGCAGCCCAACGCTACGGCCCCATGTGGTAGACAACCTCTGCCTCTCAACCTTGCCCTTCCTCCTGCAGATGTCACTAGGCTATGGGACTAGGTGTGGCCCGTGGGAGGGCTGCCTGCATATCTGCCTTCTCCTTTAGGACTTCAATAAAGCCACACGGTGTGAGAAAGAACAGCACTGTGTGCCCACACAGCCACGGACACCGGCACTCCTTGGTTGGATGTCCTGAACTAGAAGCAGGCCTGGGGCAGGTGTGGAATCCCAGGGACTAAGTTGTCAGGTATGGGAGAGACATTTACGCAGCTGGGAGGAGTGCAGAAGGGGGGAGAGGCCGACCTTGGACGGGTGGGATGAGGCCCCACAGGGCCCAACACACTTCACGCCTGGACGGACCCTGCCCCCTTCGCCAACAGTTCACAACAGGAGCTGGCAGAGGCAAGCTGCAGTCGGGGTCATGCACCGAGCCTGGTCACCGCTTAAGCAGCCAGCACTTAGCGAGAACCCCAGGCATTACCTGCTTAGTCTGCTCTCTCTGAAATAGCTCTAGCTGCTCCACCTGTGTGCGGGGGAGGAGCAATGAGACAGTGAGATGGGGGCTGCCCAGCAAGATGGCAGCCCTCACCAAGGCTGCAACTTCCTCCCAGAAAACTAGACTTCATGCTATGGCTTAGCAAATGCTGCTCAGGCTGCTCCCAGTTCCCCGCAGCTCTGGGACTCCCCAGGGCAGGGAGGCTGTGACTCTCTCCTTCAGGACCAGAGGCTATGGCTGCAAACTCTACCAGCCGCTTCTTTTCTGCCACCAAGGACTGAGAAGGCAGTATGGGACACAGCTCGCCCAATGGCACGAACAAGCTCCCTGCTGGCCCTGCAGTCCACATCTTGTGAGAATGAGGCTGAGCTGGACACCTTACCTGGGCAGTGAGTTTCTGTCTCTCCTCCTGGAACCGCTGCCTCTCCTCCAGGACCTTGGCCTTGGCCCCCTCATATTTGGCAGTCATCACCTCCAGCTCCCGGGCAGTGCTCTGGGCTTCCCGCTGCATCTCGGCCAGACGGGTCTCAGCATCAGCACGCACAGCTGCTAAGTCTTGCACGTACTTCTCCCGGGCCTGATCGAGTTCCACTTCCAGGAATTGCCGGCCGATGTTGGCGCGCTCCCCCAGCCCCCGGTTCTCCTCTGCCAGCAGGCCGTGAGCCTTCTTCAGCATGCTCAGCTGCTCGGCGTAGCTGGCCTTCTCTGCCCGCAGCTGCTGGGCAGCTCGCTCCTGCTCTGCCACCTTCTGCCGCAGGGGCCCCAGCTCGCCGAGCTCCCGCTGCACCAGCAGCAGCTCAGCCCGCAGGCTGCCCGCTGCCTGCTTGCTCTGCTCTAGCTCCTCCCGGTGGCGCTTCTCAGCAGCTGCCTGCTCGGCCTGCAGCTGCTGGCAGAGGTGCTTGACAGGCAGCAGTTCATTCACCAGGGCCTGTGTGCTGGTGTGCTCCAGCTGCAGGGCAGACAGGGCCTGCTCCTTCTGGAAGAACTTCTCCTGCCATGCCTTGAGTTCCTGACCCAGCTCCTCGGCGCGCTCGGCCTGTGAGGCCAGCTCCTGGCGCAGGCTCTCTGAAGCCACACGTTGCTTCTCGCCTTCCTCGCGGAGACTCTGCACCTCCTCGCGGAGTGCGGAGCTGCGCTCTGCAGCCCTGGCGCTGTTGCTGGCCGTCTCGGCCTGGAGGAGGCGCAGCCGCTCCTCCAGCTTCTGGCTCTTCTCCGACTCGGCTACCACCAGACGCTTCAATTCCTTGCTCTCACCCTCTTTCTCCAGGATCTGGCGGTTCAGGATGGAGACTTCCTCCTCCAAGCTGCTGATGAAGCTGTTTTTCCGCTCAGCCTCCTGCCGGCCCCGAGCCACCTGGGCCTTCCACTCTTCCTCGGCCTTGCTGTGGTCTTGGGCCTGAGCACGGAGGGCAGCCAGCTCCCTTTGGGCTGAGGCCAAGGAGCCCTGACTGTGTCCCAGCTCCTGGGTCTTCTCCTCCAATAGACCCTGCAGAGCCTCCATGGCCTTCTCCTGCCCCGCCCGCTCGGCCCGCTCGGCCTCGAGGCTGTGTGCCAGCCCATCAGCCTGATCCTGCTGCTGCTGGCACTGTTGCTCCAGCCTGCGCACCTCTGCCTGCAGCGTCTGCAGCTCTGAACTTGCTGCTTCTGTTTTCCCAGCAGCCCCAGACTCGGCTCCTGAGCTGGAAGTGCCTTCGCTGGCGGATGGCCCAGGAGACTGCTGCTTCTCCTCTCCCCTCTCAGCAAGCTGCTCCTTCAGCTGCTCCACAGTCTGCTGAAGCTGCCCCAGCTCTGTTCTCTGGGCTGCCTCCTGGTCACGAAGCTTGGCCAGCTCTTTGTCTTTGCCTTCCCTTTCCGTACGGGCTTGGGCTAACGCCTCCTGCAGGGCAGCAAACTCCACCCGCTGCTCGTTCAGGGCATTCTGCAAGCGCATCTCCAACTCTGCCTTGGCTGCCTTCTCCAGGGCCAGGTCAGCCTGGGCCCGGCCCCGCTCCTCTGTCAGCCGTGCCACCTCCCTCTCCTGCTGCCCACGTTCCTCCTGCTGCTGTCCCTGGCTCTCCATCAGCGCAGCACGCAGCCTTTCTAGCTCACTGCCCATCTGCTCAGCCTCCCGCTCCATGGCCTGCAGTGCTGCCTGTGTGCTGCAGAATGGCCGGCCCTGCTGCTCCTCCGGCCACTCGGACTCTTTGTCTCCTGCCCTCGGGGACTCCTTGAGCAGCTCTCGAGTTGCCGTTTCCTGCTGCTCGCCTGCCTTGCGGACCAAGGTCTCCAGGCGGGCTACCTCCTTGCTGGTGGAAGCCATCTTCTCCTGCAGAGCGGAGAGGTCGTCTGCAAGTTTCTGGGCCCTCACCTCCTTCTCCTGGACCTGTTGGTGGGCTCTGGCCAGGCTGGCCTGTAGCTGGGCAAGTTCATTCTGCTGCTGGCTTATCTGGAGCTCACTGCGGGCCTCTACACCTGCCACCTTCTCCTTTGCTTCCTGCAACTCCTGGCGGGCCTTCTCGCATTCCTCCTTCAGGGCCACCAGCTGCTCCTGGTACACGGCGCCATGCTGCGCCTCCTCCCGCTGGCTGGCCTCACAGCGCTCCCGCCAGGTGGCAGCCTCCTTGCTGAGCTGCTCACATGCACCCTCGGCCCTGTGCTGGGAGGCCCTGGTCTCCGCCAGCTCCTGCCGCAGGGCTTCCACCTCTGCCTGGTGGCTCTCCCCGAGCTGCTGCAGCTGGGCCTCCAGGCCTTGGCACTTGGCCTTCTCCTCCTCCAAGTGTTTCCGCTCCTGCAGCTGCTGCTCCACCAGGGTCTCGACAACCCTGCGCTTCTCCTCCTCGAGGCTGCTCTGGGTGCTCTGGGTGACCCTCAGGGACTCCTTCAACACCCACAGCTGTTCCTGGAGCTGCTCCTTCTCCTGCATTGCTCTTTCTCTCTCGGTGGCTTTCTCGTGCTCAGATCTCAGCTGGGCCTCGAGCTCGGCCACCTGGGCCCGGGCCTCACACTGCTCCCGGTGAGCTGCCTCAATGCGAGCCTCGAGCTCCTCCACCTTTTGGCTCAGCCCTGCCTTCTCCTGCTGAGCCTGCGTTGCTAAGCTCTGGGCACCCTCACGGGCTTCATTAGCAGCTTGAAGTTGCTGTTGCAGAGCTTCCAGCTCAGCAGCCTTTTCCTTTCCCAGGGCCTCCAGCTGCTGGAGAGCTGAATCCCGCTCCCTTGCGGAGGCCTCTCGCTCCTCGGCAGCCCTGGCCAGCTGCTGGCCGTGGGCCTGCAAGGCTGTCTCCTGCTCCTTGGCAGCCACCTCCAACTGCTGCTCCTTCTGCTTCAAGCTGCCGCTCAACTGCTCCACCTGCTGGTGGAGGCCCTGCACTGTTTGCTCTTGCTGCTGGAGGGTCTGTGTGAGCTGAGCCTGCTCCATCTGGGCCTTCTGCTTCAGGGTGGCCAGCTCTTGGTCCCGCTGCTGGAGGGTGGCCTGGAGTGTGGTGTGCTCTGAGGTCAAAGAGGCCACCTGAGCACTCAGTCGGGCCCCCTCAGCCTGGGAAGCCTGCTCCAGCTCCTCCTTGGCCTGGCTGAGGTTAGAGATGGAGCCCTGCAGGTCAGCAATCAGACTGGCCAACTGCTGCTTCTCTTCTTCAAAGCGGCCCCGCTCGGAGAGCAGCTGTGCTTCCTGCTGGCCCTGCTCAGTCTCCAGCTTCTCCACCCTGGCCTGGAGCTGCGTGTTGTGTGTGGCCAGGGAGGCCACCTCCTGCTTCAGGGTTTCTACCTGGTGGGACGGAGACGAGGGAGGGTCAGTGTGGCTGACTGCCGGACCCCAGGGCCCCCAGGCAGCGGCTGCTCCTGTGGGCTCTCACCTGCAGGGCATCACCGAGCACCTCGCCCTTCTCCTGGTGGGGGTTCTCCCGCAGCTGGGCCACATGCTCCTCCAGCTGTGACAGTTTTCCCTGAAGAATTTCATTCTTCTCTTCAAGGCATTTCTGGGAGTAAATAAGAGCCATGTGAAGAGGTGGAAGAGGAACCAGATTCCCTTATAGTTCCTCAGCAACATCAACACAACCCCACAGCTCACGACGAAGACCTCCTCTACCACAGGCCAAAGGAAAATCTTCCAAAACCAGGAGCCTGGACCTGAAAGACCTGACCTCTAAGCCCTAATTATAGAACGGAATTCAGTCTTACAATGAACTGCTTTTCTTCAGGTGGCCATCAAGTCTTGAATCCCAGATTATCTAAACCACCAGCAGTTTAAAATATGCACTGGGCATCATCAGGAGTGGCAGCGCCCACCCTATACCCATTTCCCTCTGGCACTCAGCCAGGCACTGTCCCGGATGCAACTCCTGTATGGCTATCCCATCCCCAAGTATCGGGGTGCTTACAGGGCAGAACCTGAAACCCAGACATGAAGTGCCCTGCAGGAGGGCTACCTCGACAATCAGTGGCAAAGACAGGTTCTGATGGATAGCAATCAGAATTGTAAATAATTCAGTGAGAGTCCAACACCATTAGGTGCTTTGTATACATAATTTCCCAATGGTCATGAGGCAGATGCTCATTAGCCCCATTTCAGGAACAGAAGCTTAGGGACAGACTGTTGGTCACCGGCAGGGGCAGGATTCACGGGTGGAGTGACCCAGGCCACGCCTCTATCCGGTATAGCACATGACCAGACCTTGAAGGGAAGGCAGCTGAACGCCTGTGTGTGGAAGAGTAGAGCACTAAACCCAGATTGAGCCCTGAGCACCTGGGGCCAACTGGGGCCTGCCTCCCCGCGGGCACCTACCTTGTCCTGCAGGGCTGTGCTGAGCTCCTTTTCAAGGCGGGTCTGTTTCTCCAGCCAGTCCTGGGTAGCCTTGCTGTGTTCCTCGGTCAACTCATTGAGGGCCCCCTGTAGCTGCTGCAGGTGACTGGCAAACTCCCGCAGCTGAGACAGACAAACAGGGCTCTCTATAATCCAGGGCCACCACTGCTGCCATCACTGCTGCCTGCTCCTTACACCCGGGGGCCAGACTTCTCCATGATCTTTCCAACCCCACTCAACCCAGTCACTGCAAATCATACCTCCAGTTCAGCACCACATGTCAAAATTCAGGGCTGCAACCCAGGAAGTGGGCAAAGCATGCCGGCCTCTGGGGAGACTGAAGCCCAAGACAGGTCTCAGGCCAGATGGTCTTTGCAGCGCTCTCCTGATGCCTCCAGTCCTGAACACACCCAGTACGGCCGAGACCCCCAGTCACCTTAAAGGACAGGTCCCCGTTCTCCTCTGAAAGCTGGCTGATCTTGCGATCCATCTGGCCTTTCTCGGTCCTCAGGTCCTGACATTGCTTCAGCGTCTCATGCAGCCGCACGGTGAGGCTGTGAAGGAGAGGGGGCTGTGAGAGGAGCTCACGGCCCTTTCTGGGGGCAGGTGGGCGGTCAGAGAGGCAGGGACAGTGCACCTCTCGTTCTTGCCTCGCAGCTCCTCGAGCTCCTGGGGCTCTGGCGGGCTGGCTGCCTGCTTCTCATTGAGCAGAGTCAGGCGGTCGATACGCTGCTGCATCACGGCAATTTGGGCATCTGGCTCGGGGTGAGGTTGGGGAGGACAGTCAGCCCAGAGCCTCTGGGAGAGGGTGGCGGGGAGAAAAGTCTATGGTGCCCGAAGGGAGGAGGATCATGGGGCAAGGCCAGAACTCAGCATCCAGCTCAGGCGGGTCCTAGGCCCAGGCCAGGGTTCTGGACTCCATGGCCCTCAGAGGGGGGACAAGATAGGAGATGAAGCTGTCATCCAGGGCTAGTTTTATGAAATCCTGGATGCTATGTGCCACACTCCTCTACTACGGGGTCAGGCACCCACCCTTTTCGGTGAGGAGCTTGCGGTTCTCTGCCAGCTCCAGCTCCAGCTCGTCCCTATTACTTCTCTCATCTGCCAGCTGCTTCTTCAACCGTCTCATCTGGAACTGTGGGGTCTGCAGGATGTCGCCCATGGGGGAGGCTGGGGAACCTGAGAGGAAGCTGAGGGGGAGACAGCCCAGAACCCTGGTAAGAGCCTCATTTGGGAGGCCAGCAGCACCTGGCAGGGATGGGGCAGGGCGCTCCGGGTTCTGTCTGCAGCACTTTCTCATGCCTTGGGACGTGACCTGAAGAGAAATCTCCTTCTCCCTTCCCAATGCCTTGATTTCTTCATTGAGAGAGCAAACAAACAAAGGTGACTTTTTTTTTTCTGCAGAGCTACCTAGAGAAGACCTCTGGCCCTGCTCAGTCTCCAGCTTCTCCACCCTGGCCTGAAGCTGTGTGTTGTGAGCTACCCAGAGAAGGGATCTGATGGCAAAATCTAGCGAAGGACATTCATCACAGAAATCTGCCAGAACAGATGCCAACCAATTCCCCAGTAAGCACTGCACCCAGATCCCCAAGGCTCCACATTCAGTGCTGCTGTGAAGCACCAGGTGGCTGCTCAGCTTCCAGATGTCAGCATGTGCAGATTGGCTGCATGCTGAGATCCCCGGCCCAGGACAGGTCCACCACATACTTGTTCCCACTGGAAGACGAGGAGGCAACCTTCTGCAGCTCTAGGAAGCGAACCTCCCTCTTGGCCTGGTGGCTGGGTGGGGAGAGCTCTTCACAGGCGACAGAACGAGTTGAAAGCATGGGAACTGGGGATGAGAAGTCGACAATTCAAGAGGTGTTAGGAGGTGAGCAGATCTGCATCTGAGTACTGTCTGAGGACTTGCTGAGTGGAAATGGCTCTGCAGACACTCAACGCAAGCTACAGAGGGAGTCAGTCGGCAGTGCCTGAACCGAGTGTCCCCCAAATAAAGCCCACTGGAACTGGGGTCCTCCATGCCCAACCACAGGACCAGGACATCTGTCTTGCCCTCACATTCTGAACCTTGTTATTATTAAAGCATAAAAATCAGGGGCAGGCACTGTGACACAGAGGATAAAGCTACCGCCTGCAATGCTGGCATCCCATTTGGGTGCTAATTCATGTCCTGACTGCTCCACTTCCAATCCAGGGCACTGACAGGTTCCCTAGACTGGAAAGAGCAGAAGAGGATGGCCCAAATATGGGGGCCCCTGCCATCACGTGGGAGAGTCAGAAGAAGCTCCTGGCTTTAGCCTGGTCTGATGCTGACCATTGCAGCCACCTGGGGAGTGAAGCAGCGGATGGAAGATCAGATCTCACTCTCCCATGTTCTCTGTCTGTAAATAAATACATCTTTTAAAAAAGGTAAATAAAAATAGAGTGAGCATTGTGGAGCAACAGGCCAGGCTGCTACCTGTGACATGGGCAGCCCATATTGAAGCACAGATTCAAGTTCCTACTGCTCTACCTCCATCCCAGTTCCCTGCTAACTTATCTGGGACAAGCAGTGTAAGACAGCCCAAGTACTTGGTCCCCTGCAACCCAAGAGGGAAATTCAACAGGAATACTGGGTTCCTGGCTTTTTTTTTTTCAAATATGTATTTATTTTTATTAGAAAGGTGGATTTTACAGAGAAGAGAGACAGAGAAAGATCTTCCATCCATTGGTTCACTCTCCAAGTGGCTACAATGGCCAGAGATGTCAAGTGGGATCCTGGTGCTTAGAAAGGGAGGAGTGCCGATTGCGCCATTGCCCCTGGGCGCCTGGCTGGCCAGCTCTGGTTGTCGTAGGCATTTGGGAAGTGTATCAATGGTTGGAAGGTATCTTTTCCTGGCTCTCCCTTTCTGTCATTCTAACCATTTTCTTTCTTTTTTCTTTTTAAAATAGACTCATTCATTTTATTGGACAGATCTACAGAGAGAAGGCGATAGAGAGAGAGAAAAGATCTTTCATCCACTGGTTCACTCCCCAAGTGGCCACAACAGCTGGAGCTGAGCTGACCTGAAGCCAGGAGCTTCTTCCAGGTCTCCCACATGGTTGCAAAGTCCCAAGGTTTTGGGCCATCCTCCTTTGCTCTCCCAAGCCACAAACTGGGAGCTGGCTGGGTAGTGGAGCAGCTGGGACATGAACCATATGGGATCCCAGCACACTCAAGGTGAGGATTTAGCCACTGAGCCACAGGCATCAGGCTCCATCCTATCTTTGAACAGGTGAATTTCAACAAGCAATACAGGTAACAAACAAAAAAGGTGTCCATAGGGGTGTGTGGGTGTGTGTGTCACTCAAGGGCCTCAGGGAGTGCCTATGGGTGGCCACAATGGCTTATAACTAACTCAGCCTCCCTTGGGCTGGCAGCAAGGGGAAGCCCCACAGGGATTAAGAAGGTGGCAGAAGGGCCCCGATCAACTCCCACCATCCTTCTCAGCTCAGGAGCCCAGCAGTCTCCACATACTCAGGGGCATGTCCCTACTCACCTTTCAGCAGGAAGCTCTCTAGATCCTCATTAAGGTTTAGCCCATCCTCGTGGTCCAGCATGAACTTAAGAATGACGGCTAACTCAGCCTGGGCCATGGAGAAAGGAAGGGATCATCACTTCAGTGACACTACAGACGGCTGCAGAGGCTCTGGCCTGGCAACACGAGCACCAGGAGCCTGCGGCCCCCTGCCAGGCACTGTGGACTAGAGCCATGTGCACCCCGCCCCTTCTCCCATCCTGTCCAACTCTGACCACAGGAATGGGCAAGGAAAATGGCTGCAGTCAAAGCCTTTAACAGACAACTTGACTGGCGTCTTCCAGATAGCCCAATCAGGAGAAAGAAGGCGATCGGTGGAGCAGCAGTTTCATGCAGAAACAACAGCGGCACACACAGTCAGACACAGTGCAATTCAATGAGAGTGTCCCAGGAAAGAAGGCCCTGGGAGCACACACCCTGTGAGCAGTCAGCACTATCTCCTGGAAGGAGATTATCTCTTTCTTTGTGCTTTTCTAAGACTTCTTCCCAGATTCTCTCTAAAGTACAGCTGTAAGCAGCATAACCACCTCTGTGAAGAAAGGCAGATGAGGGAGGTGGAGTCCAAGTGAAGCCCGCCAGGCGGGTAGAGGCGCAGAGCTTACCTGGATCTTGTATTCAAACTGTTCCCAGTCTCTGAGACTTCGGGAGCTCATGGTGAAGTGGTACAAGAGCAGCATGGTCACCTAGAAGCCAAACAGGGCAGCTGCTGAGTGAGGCACTCTTCTCTGTGGGACACTGAGCCTTTCTGGAGACTCTGTTGACACTTCTAGAAGTCAGCAGCCCTCCGCCGCCATCCTTACCAGCCCCAGAAAACACTGCTACTTCATACTGAAGACTCAATGCGTACTGTGCAAAAGACCAGGTGCTCAGATTCCCACAAGATTAAACTTCTGAACTCATAGAAGCCTAGGTACAAAACTAAGGCACCCTCCACACCCTCTAGAAATCATGGAAGTAATGAGGCCAAATGAGCTAGAAGAAACACACAGTGACAGCTAGACGAGACCTGTTGCTGCCAGGTGTCCATCGAGACCCAAAATGACAGTCTGGGAAACCTATCACAAGATTATGGACCCCTAGAATCCTAGGCTGAATTAGCTGCTGCTTCTGATAGGTGGCTACCTGGTCTGACACCCCAACCATCAAGAGCCCCAGGAACAAAGCAGCCAGCCCCTTCCCCAGTCTGGCAGCCCACAGGTACCTTGGCTAGTTCCAGCTCTGACCCCTCCATCATCTTCTGCAGGGACACCAGGCATTCTGTAGAAGCAGGCTGCTTTCGGTTTTCTGCAATGACAGTGAACGTAGAAAATGGGGTGACCTTCCTGGATATTGTACCTGAGATCCTCAGAATAGTGTGAGATGCAGCACAGCACCCTTCTCTCCTCTGCATGCCCTCACTGTCCCATTTGAAGTCAGTTCTAGTCTGGGTCAGTCCCAGGACCACAGGGTCTGTGTTCAGTGCCACTCTGGGTCATGACCCTGCACTTAGCCAATCACTGAGCACACAGAGAAGGAGCCAGAAACTGCAGATCTCTCTCGTTACTAAGCCTGCAGAGGAAGCCAGAGCCGGTCAGGGGAGGACAACTGGGACACCCTGCTCCTGCTCGGACCCAAGGGGTCTGGGCTCAGTTATCAATGCTTGCCATCTAGATACAGCCTCACACTGTTGTGATCCCCCTGAGGAGGAAAGGGCCAACAGCACCCATGGCAAGGAGGAGGACTCTGTGGTCCAAGGCCGGACAAGGAGAGCTGAGGAACAGTGTGCTGCAAGCTTTGCTTGTGCTCTCATTGAAGTTGCCCCACAACTTGAAGTGTAATGATTATTATCTCCATATTACAGACAAGGAACCCATCTCTAGAAAGTTCCTACAGCAATTAGGAGGCCCAAGATCTCAATTTAAGTCTGCTCCTGTTCTGACACTTATTACCTAAGTAACAGGTTCAGAGTTTTCTGGGGAAAATGGTTTTCTTTGCTAGGGAAAGACAGTGACATGGCTCCTTCTGTCCTCAGTCCTTGCGAAGTAGGAGAAACAGGAGGTGACCCTGTGGCTTGGCCATGGCCCTGAGCACTCTGGGCTAGAAGGACACTGTCCTCACACAGAATGATGGCAGCACAACAAGACTTAAGGAAGCTCCGACATTTCTGTCTGTCTCTGGGCTGTAGAGTAGGGAGCCCTGGGCCTTTTCCCTGCAGACACATGTAAACTGGACAGACAAAGAAAGGTGCTTACTCTGCAGGAAACTACACACAAAGGCCAGTCTCTCTGGCACCGGCTGCTGCAGGATCTGCTGCCCTTCTTCAGTGCTGTGGCTACAGAAAGAGCAAGGGTTAGAACACCATGGCACTTAGCAACGTTGGCTCCATGCCACTGCCTTCCACATCACCTCCCCTTCCCGCAGAGCTTGGTCTTTACTGAACCCAGGAGAGAACCCGACCGGAACCCAGAGGTGGGCACTAAGACACCAGGACACCAGTTACTCAGGTGGAAACTGTGGGTGAGAAGTGGGCACATGAAGTTTGGGGTCTTGGAAGAGATGGCATGTGCCATCCTGTTTGCCAAAATGAAAAAGCTCTCAGAGGGCTGGGAAGAGTTGGAGGCAGCACAGATGCAGGGGATGCTGGACTAGCTTATAATGGCTCAACTCTAAAATGTCAGCAAGCCTGGAAAACAGGGTTAGAGACAGAGAGAGGTTCATGGCAAGGGGAAAACAGATCCAAAATCTGAAGGGACAGGAAGAAACAAGGGTCTAAAGGGACAAAGTCTGAAGGTTCTGAAGGGAAAGCGCTCACAGCAGGCTGAGCGCTGAGCTGGCGACACCTCCCTGAGATGGTGCCACGGACAGTCGCTCATTCTTGATTGCTAGCTCTTGCAGGTACTTGCTTGTTTAATCAGGACAAGCAAAATCAGCAGTAAAGGGAGGGAGGCAGCAGAGGGCGCTCTCATCCAGCGGGAACCTGGCCTTGGTGGCTCCAGCTGAAGTAAAAACCACACCAGCACGAGCTGAAGGAAGTTACACTAAGTTACAACAGACAAGGCTACAGCTGAAATCATGATGAAAGTGGCTCCTAGGGCTCCTCAGAACCAGAACCCTCAGATCTCACCCAACGTTCTGGAGAGCCGTGCAGAACTCCAAAGACATCTGGCAGAGGACAAGCAGCACTTAAGCTAGGTGAGGGCACCTCCCCTCATCTCCCAAGATCTATAAAGGTTCCACTGAACCCTCCACAAAGGCATTTACTTAAAGTGGTTTCCATTAACTAAAAACCAAGAGTACCCTTGGGTTAACTGAAATATGCCAAATTAAAACACATGGAACATTTTGGAAAGAGACCGCAGGGGAGGACATTTCACACAACAGGCAAGGTGCCACTTGGAATGCCTGCGTTTGAGTCCTAGTTCCAGTTTGTTGCTGATGTGCATCCTGCATGCAGTCCAGGTAACTGGGTCCCTTCTCCCATGTGGAAGACCAAGCTTGGCCTGGGCTAGACTGCTGCAGTCATTTGGGAAGTGAAGCAGGAGGTGAGAGCTTGTTCTTGGTCTCTCTCCCTCTGCCTGTCAAAACAAAGAAACTAAACAGTGAGACTATAATATACATGATCTCCTAAACCCATCTGATGACAAAACCTCTTTCCCCCAATGATTTTAACATAAGACACATGGAACATGTGTCAGGAAAAAAACCTGGGGCCCAGTGGCCTAGCGGCTGGGGTCCTCGCCCTGAGCATGCCCCGGGATCCCATGTGGGCGCCGGTTCTGATCTCGGCAGCTCCGCTTCCCATCCAGCTCCCTGCTTGTGGCCTGGGAAAGCAGTTGTGGACGACCCAAAGCCTTGGAACCCTGCACCTGTGTGGGAGACCTGGAACAAGTTCCTGGCTCCTTAATTAATAATAATAATAATAATAATAATAATAATAATAATAATAATAAAGAAAGGTAAAAAAAAAAAAAAAGAAAAGCTCATGATTCCTGCACAGCACCAGTAGCTGCGCTCACTTAGGGAGTGATTCATCAGATGAAAGACCTTCCTGTCTCTCCTCCTCTATATATATTTGATTTTGCAATAAAAAGACAAATAAATCTTAAAGGTTCAAAAATGATTCTCACTTTTATTTTTAATCAGTCTTAACAGACTCAATGAGGTTTTCAGACACAATCTTAAGAATATAGTGATATTCCCTTCTTCCCTCCTTCTCCTCTCCCTTTTTTTATTTTTTGATAAAGAATGTTTTTGACAGGTACCACAAAATGCCCATTTAAAGGTGGTACATGATTCCACCGAGAGGCATCTATCCTTGCAGAATCAAACAAAAAACAAAAGAACCTTAAAATAATCAAGCTAAGATCTCCTGATCAGTTTACAGGCAACAAAAGGGACTAGAGACACAGCAAGAGCCAAGGCAGTAGGATGGAAAACTGCTGAGCAGAGATGACAGAGCTTTCGATTTCAAGTTTCTAGCATGAAGCATCACTGAGGAGTCACCATGAAAATAAACTTTGAGAAAGGTCCGTGAGGTCCCATGTACAGTAGTGCACTAAAATAAGAAACCAGAGAAGAATAAGGCCATAAGGACCTCGGCCCCAGCATGAGGTAGAAGGAGGCATGTCTAAATTCAATGTACAAGCAGAGCCAACGGGGACCAAAGTCAGTGCCAAGGAGAGGAGTTCCCTCTGAAGCTGAGATGTTCTGCCTAGATAACTCGGAGACAGTGGTAGTATCTGGACCAAAGTAAGAACAACAAAATCTTTCAGAGGTGCTAAGCCAAGTGCTGGCTATACCATATGAAGTTTTCTTAAATCCACTAAAACCACACTAACCCACCTGTCCTGGGCTACACAGTCCCATCAGACAGCAAAGATATCTTTAATCACAACTCAGCTACGTACTCAACAATATTCATTAAAATCTAAACAACATATCCTCCACTGATCCAAGCTAGGCACAGTGTCTCCAAGGGTCAGCTCAGCTCTAAATGCTTTCCCCACTCTGTCCGATCGGTCGTGGGAGGTAACAGATAACAGTCCCCGCTAGGTCCCCAGCTAGGTCCCTGCCAGTGACACGGGAGACAGAGACTGAGCTCTGGGCTCCTGGCTTCAGCCCAGCTCAGCTCCAGCTCTAACATTCGAATCAATCAACTAACAATGGAAGATATCTCTCTCTCTTTCCCTCCTTCTGTGCCTTTCAAAGAAAGCCAAAATAAATAAAAATTAATTTTGCCTGTAGAAAAAAAAGGAAACAGAAGATCAGCTTTGTCCTCCATTAAGGCTGAAAGTCGAGATGAAATTAGTAAAGTAACTTTAGTATGCACCTTGAATGTTTTTTTACTTGGTTTCCAAGAGGTGTGAATTTAGAAGAGACTCCATTCCATTGGTTTATCAAGAATCTGTGATGCTCTAAAGAAAGCTGATGCTAAAGACACAGACATAAAATAAAGTGGCTGGCTCTTGGCTACAGGACAACAATAACTTTGTCACATGTTAATCTATCTCCCAAGGCAAGTTACTGGTGCAGGTAAAAGTCCTGCAGGTGCTATAATGGCTAGGAAAAGGCTGATCTCGACTCCGCAGTGTGCTAACCAATGCTTCCATTTCCCTCAAGTGTAACAGCATCCCCTTCCTCATGGCCTCAGGAGCCACAAAAAGAGCCTGTGATAAGAATAGGGTAGGGATGACTTGAGGAAAAAAGATTACAGAAAACTCCTCTTGAGAGAGGGGCTGGGCACCCCAGCATGGGTTGCTGGAACAGTGTGAGAGCACAGAGCTTGGCAGGGGCTTTTGTGCCAAGAGGGAAGCCTCAAGATGGGCCAAGACAAACTTCTCCCACAGAGGGCCCTGTGCCTAGGGGGTAGAATCTAACACCTGCTTGCCTCAGACCCCACCCAGGCCTCTGACACCCCACTCCTGCCACTGCTTTCTGGTTACAGCCATCTCAAAGGACAGGGAGCAAAAGCAGGCGGCCACAGCAGCCACCAGCTTTGCCTGGGGCCAGAGAGGAGAGAGTGGTGCATACTCACAGGCTGTTAATGATTCTGACAAAGACGTTGCCATCCTGGAGTTGTGGCACAGATTCCACGGGGCCAGCCACACGCAGACTGTTCACCTGTGAGCCAAATGGAAGAAACTGGTGAGACTGGGAAGTGTTAGGAGCAGTGTGGCTCATTCTGTACCTACATGCTGGAATTTCCTGCCTGATGTGAGCATCTTCAGCTGCAGAGGACAGAAACGAAGGAAGCAATGGTTCTGGGCATTCTGATGTCAGCAAGGAATGTAGGCAGATTGCTCATCCAGTCAGTCACCTGACATGCCACCAGCAGGGTCCTCTCTTAGGCTTAGACCAGTAAGAGTTTAAATCCTAGAAGGCTCCAGTACTAGGCATATGACACTCGAAATACAACAAAATGGTTCTGGAAAGCTGTGTAAGTGATGGCCTAGTGGCTAAATCCTTGTCTTGAATGCACCAGGATCCCATGTGGGCACCGGTTTGTGTCCTGGCTGCTCTACTTCCTATCCAGCGCCATTCATGCTCGTAGCCTGAGAAAGCGGTGCAGGATGGCCCAAAGCCATGGGAACCTGCACCCACATGGGACAGCCAGAAAAAGCTCCTGGCTCTGGATCAGCTCCGCTCCTGCTGTTGCAGTCACTTAGGGAGTGAACCAGCGGATGGACAAAAGATCTTTCTCTCTATAAAGTCTGCCTTTCTAATAAAAATAAGTAAATATTAAAAAAAAAAAAAGAAAGAAAGAAAGAAAGAAAGAGAAGAAAAAACCTTATACCACGGCTAGAGGGAAGCCTGAGGTGAGAAAAGCCAAGGGTTTTTTATACCATATGACCTTGCGTTGCTGAGTGTCTGCACTGCAGCTCCCTATGCCTCAGTGTTTATGTCACAGTCCTTTGTGGCTTTTCAATTTTGAAATGTCCAAAGCTGAAACATGACATATATCCTATATACTCTGATGTACACATACATCTTACTATCAGTGCCTTTTATTCTCTCCACAAAAATTTTGAATGAGAAGGAGGAAGAAACGATAAGGGAACAAGGTAATTTTTTTTTAAATGGAGGAAGAAAAAGAGTTGATAGAACCTCAGACAAAAACTTCTCAATTTTCCAACAATTGCTTGTTCCCTTTCTCTGCTTCAAACCAACACTAGAAAATTAACCAGAGGCCACATGCAAATGACCTAAGTACATAAGCACACTACCAGCCTATGTGGCTGACAGCTAGAGCAAAACCTTAAGAATTCCATAAACACTTCAATCCTATAACAGCCTGGGCTGAAGTTTGTCTTTGTATTACATATGAAGGATGTCCTAAGTTAACTAATTGCATGTATAACAGTAAGAGACAAATGCAAGCAATGAAGCATTTTTAGTAATTTCAGCATAGTGGTTATGTGCAAGCAAACCAGACTCTATTGCAGAAAGTGTGCTCTTTACAAAGCAAAGGCCTCGGGCCCACAGATTACAGGTCCAGCTCCTCCACTAACATGAATCAAAACTGCTATCAATTTTTTTTATGTTCTGTCAAAGGGAGGGAGGAACCTCTGTGGGCTCAAATATGATGATTACTACAAGAATACATTTTAAAAAGTTATTTTTTGAAAATAAATAATACGGTATTATGGAGAACACCAGAGATTTTCACCCCCAAAGACTTATTTATTTGAAAGGCAAAGTTACAGAGAGGGAGAAACAGAGTGATCTTCATCTGTAGCTCACTCCCCAGCAGCTGTGGCTGGCCAGGCTGAAGCCAGGAGCTCCATCCGAGGCTCCCAGGTAGAGGCAGGGACACAAGGACTTGGCCTATCTCCCATTGCTTTCCCAGGCATACTAACTGGGAGCTGGACCAGAAACAGAGCAGCCAGAACTCAAATTATATGGGATACCAGCACTGCAGACAATAATTCAATCTGCTCTGCCACAGCCATATCCCTAACAACACTCTTTCTATATATATACATATATATTTTTTTAAGATTTATTTATTTATTTATGGGAAAGTCAGATATACAGAGAGGAGAGACAGAGAGGAAGATCTTCTGTCCAATGATTCACTCCCCGAGTGAGCACAACGGCCGATGCTATGCCGATCCGAAGCCAGGATCCAGGAACTTCCGGGTCTCCCACACGGGTGCAGGGTCCCAAAGCTTTGGGCCGTCCTCAACTGCCCCCCCCCCAAGGCCACAAGCAGGGAGCTGGATGGGAAGTAGAGCTGCTGGAATTAGAACCGGCACCCAAATGGGATCCCAGTTCCTTCAAGGCGAGGACTTTAGCCGCTAGGCCACGCCGCCGGGCCCAAGAACACTCTCTTTTAAAAGTACTAAACACAAGGGACAACTACACTTAGGATAACTAAGAGGTAAGCATTTAGTTGAATGGCTAAGCCAGCACTGGCACACCAGCATCCCTTACTGGAGTGGCTACTTTCCAATCCCAGTTCCAGCTCTAATGCAGCTATGTGTTAGCATGGCTAGGAAGCAGCGGCTGCTGGCTCAAGCTTTTAGGTCCCTGTCCTCACCTGCAGCCTGGCCCAGCACTGCCTTCTGCGGGTATCTAGGAAGTGACCCTGCAAGATAAGACTTTTCTCTGTTTCTCTTTCCTATGAATCTCCACCTTTGTAATAAAATAAACAAGTGAATTTTTTAAATTTTAAAATTAAGTAGCGTTCTATATTCTAACAGTTAAATTAGTGGCATACAGGGTAAAATTAAAAAGAGCTGCAAATTTGTGATTCAGGCCCCAGCACTGCTGCACACATTTCACTGCCACCTCCGATGCCAACATCCCATACTGCAGTGTGGGTTCGAGGCGCAGTCTTGGCTGACTTGTATCTATATAGGGAGTGAATGGAATTTTTTTTTTTTGTTTCCCCCTGTCATTCTGCTTTTCTAAGCTTTTTTTAAAAATCAGTGATCCATCTATAGAAATGACAGTATTCAGTTAAACACATTTTTACTAAAAACAACTTTTAAGTGGTTGTAAGTTTTTTCTCTTTTTAAAATGTGGAAGAGAAAATATGACATCTCACTTAAGTCTTAAAGACAATACATTTATAAGGTCTATGTAAAAAAGCACATTTTTAACTGTCCAGGGCAGGTTAGTGTAAGTTTTCTAGGAAGATTCTGAAATGTCAGACCAAAATCCCTTTTCACTTATTCAAAATGAAGAAACTGTCAAGACTATTCATCGCAAATCATCTGAATATTTATCTGAGAAGCACAGATTTCTAGGACAGAGAGAAAAGCCAGTCTGAGGGAGTGGGCAGCTGAGGCTGGGAGCCAGGCGCTCTCGCATGAGGGTGGCAGAACCTCAACAACAGGAGCCCCGACTGCCGCCGCCCAGGTTCTGCACTGACAGGAAGCTCACCTCAGAAGCCAGAGACCAGTTTCAGACTCTCCAATATGGGAAACTAATGTTATAACCTGAATCCTAACTGCTAAGCCATCTCCTTTAAAAAAAAGAAAAAAACACGTATTTACTTGAAAAGCAGAGATAGAAGACTGCTACCCAGGTACACTGGCAGGGAGCTAGATGGGAAATAAAATAGCCGGGACTAAAAATGGCACCCACATGGAATCCCAGGGCTATAGGCAAAGGAGTAGACTAATGAGCCACTACACCAGCCCCTCCACTTCCTTAAAATAACTATCATCAAGATAAAACATTCCAGAGCTATAAGGCTTGTTCACGAAGGAGATTGAAAATCATCCCAACTAGCTGACTAGCTGACTAGCTGATGGAAAGTCAAGGAATCTGGTGCCCAGCATAACAGCATAACAGCTAAAGTCCTCGCCTTGAACATGCTGGGTTCCCATGTGGGTGCCAGTTCTAATCCCAGCAGCCCCGCTTCCCATCCAGCTCCCTGCCTGTGGCCTGAGAAAGCACTTGAGGACGGCCCAAAGCCTTGGGACCCTGCACCCACGTGGGAGACCCAGAAGAAGCTCCTGGCTCCTGACTTTGGATCAGCTCAGCTCTGGTCGTTGCAGCTGATTGGGAAGTGAATAATCAGACAGAAGAGCTTCTTCACTGTCTCTCCTCCTTTCTGTATCTGCTTTTCCAAAAAAAAAAAAATAATAAATAAATAAATAAATAAATCAAGGAGTCTGGATTCACTACTTACACCAATTAAGCACATTAATATCTTTCATAAAGATGTTTTTTCAGGCCTGGTGCGATAGCGTAGTGGCTAACGTCCTTACCTTGCATGCGCCAGGATCCCATATGGGCACTGGTTCTCATCCTGGCAGGCCCGCTTCCCATCAAACTGCCTGCTTGTGGCCTGGGAAAGCAGTGGAGAATGGTCCAAAGCCTGGGGACCCTGCACCTGCTTAGGAAACCTGGAAGAAGTTCCTGGCTCCAGGCTCTGGACTGGTTCAGCCCCAGCCATTGTAGCACTGCAGCCATTTGGGGAGTGAACCAGCAGATGGAAGATCTTTCCTTCTGTCTCTCCTCTGTGTAAATCTGCCTTTCCAATAGAAACAAAGAAACTGAGGGCAGCACACTGTGTAACTCAAGAGACACCTGCAGGATTTCCAGGGCTGCTCAAGGCTGTCTAATCCTTGTAATATCTTATTCATGAACAACTGCTAGAGTCATTTCAAGCTACACTTTGAAGAGAATAAAATGTAAGCCAATTTTTCCACTATAAAATAAACTACTGAAATATCAGAAGATAAAACAAAAAACAGCTCGCATTCATGCTAGTATTTTACAACCTGTACTCATGGCATTGTGATGTAAGTCTTTCTTGTCATTTCCTAGGTAATTTTGTAAAACATCATTGCTGCTGTTAGGTGTGTCCATTCTATGTTACTCTTCTCATTAACATACCAAGAGCATTAAACCTGCTGCTACTTTTCACAGAATTCACTTTAGGAGCATGACTTTAGTTTAAATTGGAAAAAAAGGGCCGGCATAGTAACTTAGCGGCTAAAGTCCTTGCCTTGAATGTGCCAGGATCCCATATGGGCATCGGTTCTAATCTTGGCAGTCCTGCTTCCCTTCCAGCTCCCTGCCTGTGGCCTGGGAAAGCAGTAGAGGATGGGCCAAAGCCTTGGGACCCTGCACCCACGTGGGAGACCTGGAAGAGGCTCCTGGCTCCGGATTGGCTCAGCTCTAGCTGTTGCGGCCACTTGGGGAGTGAATCACTGGATGGAATATATTCTTTGTCTCTCCTCGTTTCTATATATAACTGATTTTGCAATAGAAATAAATGTTAAAATGAGTAAATAAATCTTTAACAATAAATAAGTAAATTTGAAAAAGAATCCTATATAACTATACTCCTTTTCATTCATATTTATTGTGTTGTGTCTGTGGTTTCTTTCTTTTTAGAGAAGTACAAAACAAGGCTACAGGAGTGCATGGACAGGCTAGTAATTAAAATGCCCACATCCCATATGGGGTACCTGGGCTTGAGTCCCAGCCCCAGCCCAGTGTTTGTCATTGTGGCCATTTGGCAAGTGACACAACCAACCAAAGAGTTCTCTCTTTCTCTCTAATTCTTTGAAACTCTGCTTTCAAATAAGTAAAATAATCTTAAAAATATAAACACTGACATATAATATGAAACATACAAAATATATAACTTAAGATATTCATTTTAATTTACACAATGGAAAATCGCATCCATTTCAAAAACCAAAGACTAAGAAAACACATTTTTTTGTTTACACATTTTTATTAAATACGAGTTTGATAATTATTAAATTATATTGATTGCATTGAGTCCCAAATAAATAAATCTAAAAAAAATTATTTTCCTGGGCCCAGGATGATAGCCTAGTGGTTAAATCCTTGTCTTGCATCTGGTGGGATCCCATATGGGTGCCAGTTTGGGTCCCTGCTGCTCCATTCCCATCCAGCTCCCTGCCTGTGGCCTGCAAAAACAGTGAAGGATGGCCCAAAGCTTTGAGACCCTGTGCCCCTGTGGGATACCCAGAAAGAAACTCCTGTTTCCTTGCTTCAGATTAGCTCAGTTCTGGTCACTATGGCCCCTTGGGAAGTGAAGCAGCAGTCGGAAGATCTTTCTGTCTCTCCTTCTCTCTGTAAATCTGCCTATCCAATAAAAATAAATAAATCTTTAAAATTTACTTGTTCTTTAAGGCAGATTTACAGAGAGAGAGCCAAAGAATAAAGATCTCCCACCTGTTAGCCTTCTCCGCAGATAGCCACACTAAAGGCTGGGCCAGCCAAGCCAAGAGCCTAGCACTGCATGTTGGTCACATGGGTATTCATATGTCATGCTAGCATCAACGACAGCAGCTTAACTTGCTGTACCACAATGCTAGGCCCTTACTGAATTATTATTATTTTTTTTTGAAAGGTATAAACCAAAGGAAAGCTTTGGTCTGAAGATAAGACTTTACATAGTCCTGGCTCCTCAACAATCTCCTTCTGCTCCTCTCAAGCTTCCCGAGGCAGTAAACAAGAGTGGACTCCTTACCCAAGAAAGGAGTGCAGTCGCTCGGGAGGCCTGGAGCGTCATCGTGGTGATACCAGACAGCCACTCCGGTGCACCTGGAAGCCAAAGAAGAAAAGCAGTTGATCATTCCAAAGATCCATAACCAGCTCACAACACTTAAACAAATCACTCATCACTTGGCGCTCAATCCACCAAGACACCACAGGGATTTTCAGAGAGGTTCAAATGCACATAAAAATGATAAAAACATTTGTCATAGTTCACGGTACAGACTCCAGCATTTAATTCAATGTCCAGAGGTTCTCCATGAATCTTCGATTTTCAGGGGAAATACAACATTTAAAGTAGTCCACGTACCCTGTTCTTTGGGACATGGTATCCTGTACCACAGAATGAGCAGCCTTTGACACAGACCTGACTCCATACCACCAGGGTCGTGTCTACTTGCACAAGAAACACACCCTGTTTTAGTCTCATTCTCTTATCCACAAAAAGGAATCCACAGGCACCACTCACGTTAATCAAACAACACAACATCTAGGACAAAGCACTGGATGGGTGATTTTTGACTCTTTCTGAAGCACCCAAATTCTACCTCACGGTAACAAAGTCCTCGAGGGAAACCTCTTCAAGTTCTCCTCCCTTGCTCAAGTGGGGGGTTTGGGCAAATCAACAGGTCTGCAAGAGGCTAGGTCCAATTAGAGATCCCATGAGCATTTATAGGGAAAGGGGAAACATTTGTCCTGGTATTCTCACCCCTCAATTTACTTGCCCACTGGGACTCTGTCAGTTGCATGCCAACTTACCCAAGAGGCTACAGATGTGATGACTAAATACTCCCCCAACACCTCCTAGCAGCCCTTAGAATTCCCACAAGCCCCCGAGGGTCCGAGCCTCCCCAACACCTCCTAGCAGCCCTTAGAATTCCCACAAGCCCCCCGAGGGTCCGAGCCTCCCCCAACACCTCCTAGCAGCCCTTACAATTCCCACAAGCCTCCCGAGGGTCCGAGCAGCCCTTCACCCCACCTGCTGCCACAGGTGCTCAGCTTGTCTTTACAGGCAGGGACAGGAGTTGTGAGAGCCATATTGCTCTATAAATCTTCCCACATATGAGGGGCCTAGAAAGAGCTCACCAAAATTGCTTCTTGGTCTTTTGGCTATGATCAAGTAAAAAATTTTCATGAAAAATGTGCATTTATGAAAAACCTATACAAGGATTTCAAAAAAATTATGCACCAAAATAAAGGATGTTTGCCTCTATTCCCACAAACTTGCTAAAAATTAAACTTGCTCAGGAAAAGATCTTTTACATTTATTTTTATTTGAAGACAGACCAAAAAAAGTGAGAACAAGAAAGACAGTTCATTCATCTGCTAATTCACTCCCCACACGCCCACAACAGCCACGTGGGGTCAGACTGAAGCTAGCAGCCCGGAGCCGCACCTGGGGCTCCCACACAGTACAGGGACCCACAGACATGAGCCACACCTGATACTGCCAGGAGTGTGAAGCAGGATTGGAACCCAGGCACTCCAATATGGAATGTGGGTATCCCAAGCGGCTTAACCACTGTGCCATAACGCCTACACCATTTCCAGACTTCTTCAAGTTCCCTCATAATCCCATCTCCAAGGTGCAATCCTGTGGGATCAACATTTGCTAAGCTCCTTCTGCATGCAAGATACTGGAGATGAACAACAAAGATGCCACTTTTGCACACAGAAATTCACTGACTGATAGGAGAAAAAGATACATAAATCTGTTAACTCATCCTTTCATGTCTTGGTCCTCCTGTCCAAGTATACTCTGCTTATCAACCACCCAAAAGCATTTCTTGCTCCCTACATATAATCATCCTTTCTTGGAAATTATATGAGAAACAAAGACCCCATTCCTGCCTTTAAAGGGCTTGCAACAATTTAAGGAATAAACAGGAAGCACTAATGGAAAAAAATAACTAAATGCTAAATGTAACTGAACACTTCCTGACCTTGCAAAACCCAACATGATTCCACCTGTGATACCAACCCCACAGTCTTGGAAACAAGCCAATATACCTGGGCGGCAAGGGGGCTCCCAGAGCAAGGAGAAGCTAAGGGGCCTAGGCCTGCCTCTGGCTTGGGTGGCTTACCCAGTGGGGCCTATCCGTGGGCACTGACAAAGGTAAAGGCCTGTGACCTGAGCTACTGTACCTGCAGGGGAGCTCTGCTGAGGGCTGCCTGCCTGCCTGCCTGCCTGCCTGCCTGCCTGCCGCTGTGAAGAGGAAAAACGAGTGCTCAACACTCAGCGGGGCTTCTTGGAATAAATAGTCTGAGCTAGTCAGACTGTTGCTAATGAGGGCAACAAGGCCCAGGTCCCAGTTCCCTCTTCCCCACCGCGGGCTGCAGATCATCTTCTGATGAGGCACCACCCCTCTGTCAGAAACCTTACAACTAGAGTTACCTGGGTCTTGCCCCCTCTGGGAGATTCCACAGCTGTGCTGCTAAAAATGACCTGAGGTTTAACCAACCTCTGTTCTACATTCGAGAGGCAAAACACATAGGCTCACAGTCCTCCCAGGGGAGCCTGTATGCAACCAGCTCCACAGCTCAAGAAAACCAGTGTCGGCCTGATGCTGTTTTCTGTGTTCCCCAGTCCAAAACAGAAGGAGTCCAATCCTCAACATGAGACATTTCTGGTGGACCCGGTCAGCTCAGAGCCCCACTAAGAGGTCCCTGGTCTCTGTCACTCTGTCTCTGACATGGTGGGAGGCTACAGACAGCCCTGACACTCACTTCTCCCAGGGTTATCAGTAACTGAGACCTAGGGCCTAGCTTGTCCTTAGCTATGGAACTGGAGCTGAAGTAACCCTTGGCTTGGAACCTGAGGGCTCCTTCCTGCCCTTTAAAGGCAGGAATGGGGTCTTTGTTTCTCATATAGTTTCCAGGAAAGGATGATTATATGTAGGGAGCAAGAAATGCTTTTGGGTGGTTGATAAACAGAGTATACTTGGACAGGAGGACCAACCTCCAACCACCCACCAATCTCCCCCAACACACCCTCCCCACGGAAATGTGAGGCAGGCCCTGCCCAGAAGACTGTGTGATGGTGATGGAAAAACAGTTCCCAGAACTATTGCCCAGAAGGATCTATTGAGATCCACTCCAACTTGGTCAGGCACTCCTATGATGCCCCACAGCAAAGAAACAAAGGCCCAGGATGTGGGTCAGGCCCTCCGAGGGCACTGGGCTCCCACCTACCCGGTTCTTGAGGAAGAAATGCCCAGAACCTTCCCAGAGGCTTTACAGGACTGAGAAGGTGCCCTCTTGGCTCCCTGGTCTGTGGCGGGAACCAGCACACAGAAGCAGCTGCTTAATACAACTTGAGGGCCCCGCAACCTCTTGACATTTTCCCAGCTGACATTAATGTAGCTCCCCGACATTAGAACTGACTCCCCCAGTTACACTAACCCTTCTCTGTTTCCAGAAAAGACAGTTACCAGGACAAGGAAAACCCGGTTTTGGAGACACATAGAGAGTGACCTGGTCCACCCTCTCCCCAGACCTTAAAGAGTTAAAGCCTGGCCATGCTTTCCTGCCAGGGCTAAAGCTAATGCAAACCACCTGCTCAGAGGCACGGATGAGGACCAGGGGGTCAGGTTGCTGGGCTCTGGGGTCTGTCCTGAAAAAGCTTCATTTGCAGGAGTAGACCAAGTGGCAGGCCAAAGGCTGGAGGATCTGAGTTACAGCAGCACGGCCCTCTGCACCCACACCCTGCCCCCTCCCACCAGCTCTCTCGAGGCTGCCTCCGAGCCACTTACTGCCAGCCTCAACACCAGCCTACTCAAGATAATAGCGAAGTGCCCTTTGCTCCTAGAGAGCTGCTAAATGGTACTGATCTTTCCGTTCAGGGGCCCTTGCCGCCACCAAATGCGTACTGTCTCAGCACTAACTCCTACTACCAGGTCAGGAACCAAAGCCCATGCAAGCTCCCACCTCAAAAAGGGTCCTTCCCAGAACCCCACCTCCTTTGTACCCCATGGTTTCAAAGACTCACAGCTCACAAAGGAAATGGCTGCCCCATCTGTGCACCCAGGCTCAATGGCAAAACTCCTGATGACTTACCCAGAGGGCAAGCCTGTCTGCAGCCCTAGGGATTCCATGTCCGGTCCCCCTCCCAAAAGAGGATGCTCTCCTCCATAAGGCAAACCCCCTGACCCTGCTGCCCCCCGCCCCCGGGGACAAGCTCACAGGCACAGGCAAGCATCCAGTTCTCGCCAGCAGGTTACCCAGGAGGGCCCCACACAGGGCAGCCTATCTCACCACAAGCTGGTTTGCCATAAAAAAACTGAACAGGAGAGATATTGCTGGTGCACCCCTTGGCTCAGAGAAGGTAAAAGGCCAAAGGAACAACAGCTCTAATAGTGGCCACAGGGAAAACAAATCTTTCCAGCTCCTGGGGAGTCCTGGTCCAAGTCTACAGCTTCTCCGCACTCCTGAGGTCAGGGGCAAAGCAACTTGCTGGATGCGTTCCCGGTTCCTCTGAAGGGACTAGAGCTTTGGGCTCAGGCCAGCCGGCTCCTCTCTTAGGCCACCCCTTCTTTGGAACCTAGAGTTTGGTTCTTGGTGCAGAAGCCCTTTGAAAAGAGACAAGGGAGGGGCAGGAGGGAAACTAAGACTCCCTGGTTACTTCAGAGTGGTTGGCTGCTATCTTCCCTTTCCCCCACGGCTCTGGGGTCCAGATCAGTGAGCAAAAGGCTGCAGTCCCGAAGCCGACCGCCGTCCTGCAGCCGCACACTGCGCGCGGCCCGGGCGCACGCCGGCCGTTCCTCAGAAGCTGCCCCCACCCCCGCTCCGTGACAGAAGGAGCCTGCTTACACTGCCCTCCCTCGCGCACACACCCCGGGGCTCACGCGGGGACGGAGAAGGCCCTCCAGAGCTGCCTCTACAGCTCAAGTGCGGGCGCGCCCGCTCTCCGGCTCTGAACAAAAACACGCTGACATCCCGCGGGGAGGGCGCGCGGCTGCGCTGGCGGCGCCGCTCCCGGATGTCGCTCAGTGTGTTTACTTGCGCTCCCCTTCTCTCCCGCCCCTTCAAGGATGGCGCGGGGGGGAAGAGTCCACCCCAACCCCTCGTCCATGTTGGAACAAAAAACCCAGAGAAAGAGTGAGGGAGAGAAAGTCCCAGCACAGGGGGCCTTACCAGATTCCTAAAGCCAAACGTAACTACAGGTTTTAATCCGCCATTAGCATTTAAATCTTGAAAGGAGAGGAGGAAGGGGGGGGCAGTGGAAAGTAACCCCACACACAAAAGAAAAGTTGTTGGTTTTCTTCTCAGTCAGCCTGGCAGGAGCGATCTTCCTGGCTGACAGCCAGAAGTGCGTCACGGCCAGGAGTCTGCTTTCTTTAAAGGCACAGCGAGCTTCCGCGGGCGGCGAGCGCGCCAGGCCGGCCCTGGCGGTGGGGGAGGGGCCGCGAGCGAGGGCCGGGCACGCGCGGGCGGCAGGGGCGGCCCAAGTGCAGCGGCCGCGGGGCCGAGCCGCACTGGCGCACAGACACCCAAACGTCTCTCCCGGCGGCCCGCCTGACAAACCTGAGGTCCCCGGACACTCCCCCTTCGCTCTGTGTTCCACCCGACGCTTAAGGCGACGGTTGACAGCCAGTTGAGCTCTCTGGCCAGCAGCGGAAGGGTAGGCCACGGCTGCCCTGCAGATTAGATCAGCCCCTGCTTGGAGGCAAGCAGGGCAAAGAGGAAGACCCGGGAACAAGAGGCTTTGAAGAGAAAGTAAAAACGCAGGTCCTTTTCATGGGGGCAGCTTCCTGCTGCCTCCAGGGCGGGCCGTGTGTAAGCACACACAAGCTGCTCGCTGGCAGCACACAAAGCGCCTCGCCGCCTTCGGTGGGCACCGCCTGCTCTGGGTCACCCCCCAAGCCCATTCCCTGAAGGAATCCCTCCAGCCCGTACCTTCGGCGTGGCAAGGCCAGGATGCCGGGCCGTGCCCGCTCCTCCCCCTCGGCCACCCAAACAAGAAGCCCAGGCCGATTCTGGCCCAGGAGTGCAGCCCTGCGCTGTCCTAGCTGTCCTGTCCGGGTGGCTGCGTGCTATTGTGCTATTGTCGACGGTCGAATGGCGGCCAAAAATCCCAGCTGTGCTGCCAGAACCTAATCCCCTGTTCCGCTGAGCTTTGTGGGGAGGGGCTGAGGGGCCAAGGCACGGGATTTGAGTGCAGCAAGCACTGGCTGGAGCCCGTAACAGATGCAGCAGAGGGATCCATGGGCAGAGACGGCAGACCTGCCTCTCCTAAATGGCCACACGGAAAAGATGCCTTTCTCTCACCAAACAAAACCACAGCCTTTCTACCGGCTCACAAATCCTCACCAAGGCTGTGTGAGAAGCCACCAACTAAGTAAGCCCCTTCCTCGTACACCACATCTATTGACCTATTATGTATAAGGCACTGCTAGGGCACGACACAGAGGGACACACATGAACCGAACCCAGCATCTGAGGTGGGCTGTAAGACATAAATGTTACTAGAACTTGAAAGTTATGTTTCAAAACTGTATGTGCTAATGTCTGCACACACACACACACACATACACGCGCACACACACAAGGAACCATTCCAACTAGTTTTGAGGAGTAGGTAAAGTCTAGGAAAATAAAGTGTTACTGGGATTGGGATCCTGAAACAGGCATTAGAATTTCCCCAGTGGAAATGGAGGGGCTGTGGGGGCAGAAAGCAGAGAGGAGTGAAAACAGGCTTGAAGCATGAGCAGAGGTCAGAAAGTGAGATTGTCTTAAACTTCAAACCAACGAAAAGCTTGGCAGTTTATTTAGCTGGTTTTTTAAAAAAGATTTTTTTAATTGCAAAGTCAGATATACAAAGAGGAGGAGGGACAGAGAGAAAGATGGTCTATCTGTTAGTTATTTAAAAGAATGGAAGAGTTCTAGTTCTAGGTCATAGGATATTACGATACTTTATGCGCAGCTAATTCTCGCAACCTGGTTCTTTACTGTGAGCTGAAAAACACCAGACGCAACATTATCTTAGGAAGTTTATTCCAGCGGGGCAGGAAAAGGGGAAGGGGAAAGGGGTAGGGGGGAGCAAGGAAGAAGAGAGGAAGAGAGAGGAAGAGAGAGGGAGAGAGAGGGAGAGAGGGAGAGAGAGAAAGAGAGAGAGAGAGAGAGAGAGAGAACCGAGTGGGGCAGGAAAAGGGGAAGGGGGGAGAAGGGAGGTAAGAAAGAGGAAGAGCAGGGGAGAGGAACCAAGGAGAGAGAGAGAGCAAGAGCAAGAGAGAGAGCCGCACCTGGGGGCCTTTTTTGTCGGCCAGGTGTGGGGGGCGGGGATTCGGAGGGATTGAGGTCAAGGCCCCAGGGGATTGGTGCCTGCAGGTGAATGCCTGGGGATGATTGGTGAGTGGGCGGGGTTGGGGAAGGGGCTGGGAGATTGGGGGTGGGGTTCTCAGGTGGAATGCCAGGTTACATCTGATTGGTGGATGGCTGGACTGGCGCGAATTCTGTGAGCTGTGAGGAAGAAGGAATGACGCAGGGTCCAGGGTGGGATATTGGAATAAGTCCTTACACTATCCACTGATTCACTCCCCAAGTGGTGGGAACGGCTGGAGCTAAGCTGATCCGAAGCCAGGATCCAGGAGCTTCTTCCTGGTCTCCCACCCAGGTGCAGGTTCCCAAGGCTTTAGGCCGTCCTGGACTGCTTTCCCAGGCCACAAGCAGGGAGCTGGATGGTAAGTGGAGCTGCCAAGACACAAACTGGTGCCCATAGGGGAGTCTGGTGATTACAAGGAGAGGACTTTAGCTGCTACACTGCTGCACCATGCCCAGCTGTTTGTTCTTAACAAGGAGCTGTGGTGTAAGGGGAACTGGGCTCTGTTTATCCTGACATATAAGATTAAAGATCTAGCAGCCAACCCGGCATAATGGCTCAGTGGCTGAATCGTTGCCTTTCATGCACCAGGATCCCATATGGACACTAGCTTGTGTCCTGGCTGCTCCACTTCCCATCCAGTTCCCTGCTTGTGGCCTGGAAGAGCTGTGGAGTACGGCTCAAAGTTTTGGGACCTGCACCCGTGTGGGAGACCAGGAAGTTGATGTGGCTTTGGATCAGCTCAGCTTGAGCCATTGCAACCATTTGGGGAGTGGACCAGTGGATGGAAGATCTTCTTCTCTGTCTCTTCTTTTCTCATTGTATATCTGCCTTTCCAAATAAATCCTTAAAAAAAAAAATCTGGCAGGAAGGAGCTGAGAAAGAAAGTGGCCACAACAGAACATAGCAAGGAGGACATGACAGCAGGTAGGAGAAGGAAGTGAATGTGAGATACTGTGGAAACATAAGGCAGAGGACGTGTGTGCGGTAACAGCAGAAACCATGCGAGGGGATGAGGATGGGGGCACAGCAAGAGAACAAACAGTAATACCAGTCTATGCTTACCGAATGTGCAGGAGATAGTTCCAACCTAATGTGTACTGACTTATTGTTAACCTTAACGAAGCAGCTTGCTCTTACTATCTGACTTCAGAGCTGACCAAACTGAGCCACAGACTAGCAAATGGCAGAACATTCCATCACTTGCTGCTAACTACATGACTCTGGCAAGTTGCCTCTGAGCGAGCCTTCGTATTCCCTACTTGTACAGTAGGGATCAAGACACCTCCTTTGACACATGACACAGCTGTTACACGCCAACATCCCTCTCCAGGAGCAGAGACCTGGCCCATCTTCCTAGCCATTTTCCTGCTAAAGCACATTGTGGAAGGCAGCAGATAATGTCTCAGTATCTGGGTCTCTGCCTGCCAACAAGAGACCCCAAACTAAATTCCAAGCTCCTAGCCTAGCCTTGCCTACTGTGGGCATTTAGGGAATGAAGAGCTGATCAAAGTTCTGTCTCCTGTCAAGTAATGAGGATTAATGTAGTAACATCTACCAGACACTCAATATATAGCCTAGTACAAAGTGGAGGCTCCACAAAGATGAGCTTGCATTTGGCATTTTGTCCCCTAGCAGCCAAGTTTCCAAGCAGAATTTGGCTCACCTTCTGTCGGGGAAGCTAAGGAAGGTGTTGCTTCTAGAGGAAACTGGATTGTCAAGATGCCTGCCTTCTTCCTACTAGACTGCCTTTTGACGGTCCAGCTTAATCCCAACTCTGTAAATACTGAATAGTGAACAGTGGCTATCTTGGGAGTGGAGTTAGGTTGTGAGGGACATTCACCTGAGGACTCCCTACACTGTTTGATCTTTTTATTAGAAATTTTATTTATTTTCATTTTATTTGAATAGCAGAGAGAAAGAAATCGCCTATCTACTGCTTCACTGTTCCAAATGCCTGCAACAGCTAGACTGAGTCAAGCTGAAGCAGAGGCTGAAGACAGAATGCAGCCTGTCTCCCACATGGATTCCAGGACCCCACTGCTTCCTAAGGCCTGCATTAGCAGGAAATTGGATCAAAAACAGAGTTGCACTCAAACTCAGGCCCTCCAATATATAGAATGCAGGCTTCCCAAGCAGCATCTTAACTACTGCTTGAAATGCATGCCTCTGAATTAATTGCTACTAACAATGTATTACACCAGTGATGAGAAAACAGTATTCACATAGGCACTTGAGCTGCTTTCTGTGTTCATACATGATCATGTTTTTCACACCTACAATGTGAATTCTTCAAGTGCAAAATCAGCTCCATCTTTCTGATCCCTGTAGTACTTAGCACACAAGGGTTCCATAAATCTGTTCCACTGAACTCCTATCTGGATGGCAGGTTTCCAAACTCAACCATCTGGCCACCAGAGAATGACTGTAGTGAGTGGCAGGGATGATGAGGTGGGGGTATGGGCAGAGGCAAGACCAGGCTCATGGCTGCAGAACCCCCCTATCATCTCCATACTTCTGGCAGCTATGCAGCATAGCCCCAGAGGCACATTTGTAATTTATGGTTAGTAGTCACTATTAGTAGAAAGGGGGAAATTATTATTCAAAACAGCACCACAAAAAAAGACAAATCAAATAGCAAAATATTTACAGAAAAAGCAAAGAGGCATGTTGGGAAAAGCCACCACCTGCAATGCTAGCATGCCATATGAGTGCTGCTTTGAATCCCAGCTAGTCCACCTCTGATCCAGCTTGCTGCTAACGTACCTGGGAAAGTAGAGGATGATGGCCAAATACTTGGGCCCCAATATGCATAAGGGAGACCCAGATGAAGCTCCTGGCTTCAGACTGGACTAGCTTCAACCGCTAAGTTTGAAGTCTCCTTTTGGAGAATGGATCAGTACATGGAAGATCTTCCTGTGTCTCTCCCTCTCTCCGTAACTTTGCCTTTCCAATAACAAAGTGGCAAACATAACTAAAAGATTAGCATAATCAATACACCAGAAAAAAAAAAGAGAGATATAATAGGAAGCTAAAACTGCCAGGGCCAGGTCTTGCACGGCATCAGGCCCAAACTACCTAGCCCAAGAGAGAACTATTCCCCGCCCTCAGGAACCCAAGAAGTCTGCCCCACCGCCTTTGCACTAACTTCAAGGAAGCAGCTTCCAGCTGTGCAGCCTGTCAGAGGGAATGAGGTCT